TATGTGTGTATGTGTGTGTGTGTGTGTGTGTGTGTATATATACACACACACTGTATGTGTGTATATATACACACACACTGTATGTGTGTGTGTGTGTGTGTGTGTATATATGTATACCATGGAGAGGCCCGTTCTTCTGGTACAGGTTGCTAGGCAGCGTGTGTCTGTCCCACTCAGACGGCTTAAGCATACGTTCCTGTTTGGAGGGGGTGAGCTGCTCGCTGTACTCCCAGAAGTAGCGACGCTTGCCTCTCTTCCGGCTGGAGACTCCTGCCGTCAGGCCTTTTATGTCCTCCATTAGCTCCATGTCACAGCCTGGAGACAACAAGACCGGCGAATGGGGAGGAAATCAGAGCAGAAAAAGACAGAGCATGAAAATTAAGGGGAAACAAAGACAGAAAGGTAATAATTTAAGAAATAAACAACAAATGTCTCAAATAATGACAAGCCATTGATTGGTGACACACAACCAGAAGCGTGAAGATGACGGGCGGCTACCTGGCTCTGAAAAGGCATCACTCATGTCTTCGTCCTTGTCGGCTTCGTAGTCTTCATCCTCCTCATCCTCCTCATTCTCAGACAGCTCATGCTCGCTGCCGAAACCCTCATCGTGGTCTTCGTCATCCATCTCAAGCCCATCGCCTTCCTCCTCCTCCGCATCTTCATCGTCTTCTTCCTCCTCCTCCGCATCTTCCTCGTCTTCTTCCTCCTCCTCCTCCTCCAGCTGGGAGGGGGCTGTGCCGGCCAGCTTGCTGCGGGTCAAGAACAGAGAGTAGTTGTGCTCCTCCTCCTTGCTGTTCTCGACCTCGACATCCGGACCGCTGCCACCGCCACTAGCCCCTGCCACACTATCGCTGGTGCTGACCAGCCCAGAGATGCTGCCCTCCAGGGCCTGGCTCGCCTCAACATGTTGAGGCACGGAGGCAGACCAGCCTACAGGCATCTCCCTCCTCCCTGCCTCCTCTGCCCTCCTCTCAAAGCTCGTCAGGCTGGCAGAGCCACTGGCTGCAGCAACAGGAATTACCACCAAGGTGGCGCTCGCTGAAGTGCCGGCCTTCTCGTCTTGTGGCTGGGAAACAGGTAGAGGTGTACCTGACTTCTCAAAATCTGTCTGGGAGGGCGTGTTGGGCTGAAATTTATACACAGCACCTACACGGACTTTAGCCTTCCGCACAAAGTCAGTGCCGTGAGAAGTTGGGGCTGCCATCTTGGTTCCTCGCCCTTGGGGCCTGGTTTCAGCTTGGCCGTGGTCCTGCGTGAGACTAAGGAGGTTCTGGTTCTTGGCCATAGTCTCAGTGCTGGAGGGGACAGGTCTGGTGGCTTTTTTGGAGCTTTCAGGAACGTCTGGGAGAAAGCTGCGGGAAGGACGGAGAGAGGATGTGGCGCTTAGGGAGGGCCGTGCAGAGTAGGGGACCGATCCCTGGCCAGGGACCAAGGCTCTCCTACTGTGACATGGCTGAGGGGCAGGCAGCGTCAGGTCAGCAGGTGGGTAGAGCACCTCGCATACAGGCTGCGAATCCTCGCTGTTGAGCTGAGCCAGCGTCGGGGTTCTACCAATCACGTCCTCGTCCTGGTAGGGACTAGAGAAGTCATCTAATCCAAGGAAATCTACCTCTCTGGTGCCCCAGATGTCACAGCTGGCCAGCCGTGTGTATCTGCCAAGCACAGAGACATGCAGTAGTATCAACAGTCAAAGCTTTCATTGTATATAACCTTTAATATGTAACTATTGGCTGTGTTTCATTTAAATACATCACGAAAAAAGGTTCATCATCATTGTTAAGAGAATATATTTGGACCACCCTAGACTCTGGAAAACTGTTTTTTTGCGTTTTTTTTTTTTAAGTGATCGATTCATGGATAAAGTTTTGAGAGGTTAATTAATAATAAAACAGTTTGTTGCAGCCCTAGATACAAACATATCTTTTGCACTATTAAGAACTGCAATGGCTCCGTGTTTGGGATAAGTGCAGATTTTGAAGTTGAGACGCCTGAATGATGTATTTGTGCCTAAATCCATACCGCCTGGAGCGACAAATCTGTCTGCACTTGTTATTTCACCTGCAATTTTCACTTTGCCTTTAGTATATGGTTGTGTGTGTAGTGTGGAACCTGGAGGTAGTCAAACTTGTTCCTACCAATACCACAACATACAAATAAAACCACAGTGCCTCAGAGCTCACAGAGCTCACATGACGTCTACTGACCCAGAAACACGCTCCGTCAGACAGTGGAGCTACCAAACAGCAGCGTGGACCTAATCTGGACAGCTGAGGTTGTAAAAGAATGACTCACTCATTAGCCAAAAAGATACAGCACTTTCCTCCGTTCCTGCTCCAGTCAATTTTAAGCGGCTCATGTGAGCAGCTGATTCTTTCTCAGAGACAAGAATGTGCGGCCAATTAAAAACGCATCTAGTGGACACTGAATGCGACCTCCTGTACCGTTACTATTCAATACCACACTAGTTATTGCACAATCGGTAGGTAATGTTGAGCACAATTACTGGCACTGTAAGCCACCTTTAACTTCAGAAAGTTATTAGCATGCCATTTAAGTTCCATTAGATTCATCAGTATGTTTTTATGTATGATTTACTTGCTGTTGTTTTTAAACTCAATCTAAAATAAGCCACAGCACATGAATAAATGATCCAGTACCTGGTGACATCTTCCCAGTAGGAGTCCCACTGTTCGAACACTGAGCCGTTGCAGACAGTCTCGCACTCGTCCAGACTCATGAGCTGATCCCCACAGCTCTCCAAGTCCTTGCCTCCGTCTCCGACCCCCATGATGCTGTCCCGACAGGGGCTCTGCCGGTGGGTTATGTCTCTGTCCTACAGAGAGGAGGAAAACATGGAGGAGAGTCAAGCAGGTGGTTAGGGGTAGAAGACGGTCTATTTCTAATTCTGTTTAGTTTACTTTTTGTTGTTACAGTTCTATTGCATTCAAAGGATTTTGTTAACTTGAACACAAAGACATTTAAGATCACAAGCCAAGAACTGATTACTGCAACCTGAAACTATTGTGTGGACTTAGGGGCCAGAAACGGATATTACGGTATATACTAATAAAAAAACAGTTAAAAGAGTAAAGGGGAGTTTTTTTCCCACCAATTTTGCAATAGCTGACAGCAAAAGAGGAAGCCAAATGCCATCATGCCAAATATTGTGGCTAGAAGTGAAGAAAAGTGTTGGAGAAAATGACATTTATGTGGAAATGGACTTGCCAACAAAAGGAATGACAGGACTGCAATTGTCTATTATATTAATTCGATGGATAAATTGATACAGAACATGTATGCCAAATTTGAAGAAATTCCCTCCAGATGTTCTTGTGATATCGCGTTCATACATTGGACCAGACAGACCAATGGACGGACAACCTGAAAACATAACGTACGCGACCACAGCTGTTGATGCCGCATGGACGTATAAAAAGAAATGTTGTGGCAGTATCCCATCAGAGCTTATCAGATTATATTTTTATAATACTTATGCACAAATGTGATGAAGTATATTAATTTGTCATCGTCATTCTCACCTGGTATATGTATCAATAAACAGTTTCTCAATTGATGTTAAAGGTGAATGTCTATGGAAGCGTGACGAGAATTCTAATTTGTTTTTCTGTCAGAAGCGTTTGGATTCAACAGGATGAGGCAAAACACATTAGAGGTCTGTGTTGTCAATATCAGATCCTTTAATGTCTTTACAGGAGAGAGAGAGAGCAAGAGCGAGAGAGAGAGAGAGAGAGAGAAAAGAGAAAAAAAAAGACCATAACAACATATTTTACATAATCTAAAAGAGTTTGCAGAAACGATATCTGTCCACAGAGAAAACTAACTGGAGGGTTGAAAAAGATGACGGACCATCCTACACTCATTGACCACATTAATGTGTTACTATGGTGCAAGAAATTGAGAGCGTAGCAGCTAATCACTATTGTTTAGTCTACAGTGGACAGTAAATTGAGGCAGACACCTGTGGCTGACAACGTGAGTGGCGACAGGTGAGCTGTCTCACATTAGCCACCTGTGAGCCTGTCGAATGTCACACTGCTGCTAAACAATTAGGCGCCCGCCTCTCTGTTTTCAATGCTACTCTGGCAGCAGAGCTGACTGCATGCACGCATTTATGTACAGTTTTTCTAGTGGAATCTGAATTTACACAATTTTGACTTCTACTATGATTATGACTAAAAAACACTGTAAAAGGGGAGGGAGTCTGTGACATAGTTTTGTCAAACAAATGATTGTAAATATTGATACGAGTGGAATCGGGAGTCTGGCTTTCTTCTGTTAACATGTCTGAAACTCTACTTACATATACAAAGGAATTAACAAAAACACAACATCCCTGTGCCACTTTACTGTCCTGGGAATTAAAATCCTCTCTGCTGTTTGTTGGTAGCTTGTGTGCTGTGTAACCTAATATTGTTTTTTGATACGGGTGGGGATACTCGTGCTGTGAGCGACTGTGACCACTCAAGCCGCGCTGATACGGTGCGAGGGTTTTTCCACTACACTATATGGCAAGGTAGAAAATAACTGTTTACCTTGATGACGCTTTTCTATGTTTGTTTCACAATGAATTAAAGGCTAATGCTAATTTGCAGTGCTTTTAATGTAAAGTAGCACCAGCAGTTAACATTAAAAATAAGAATGATATCTGACGAACAGGAACGTAGAAGTGAAACTAAACTCCAAACTACAGAGATCCCAGTTAGACGTATCATTCGCTCTGCTAAGAAGGTGATTGGCTGCAATCTGCCATCCCTCCTTGAATGTCACACCTCCAGGATCCTGGGGGCAGGCAATACAAGTTGTAGCCAATCCCTCTCACCCTAGACACAAACTGTTTTGAGTCCCTTCCCTCCGGCAGGAGGCTGCGCGCCATCAGGAACCATTACCTCAGTTTCTGCAGATGGGCTCATCAACAAAGCCCGGGACCCTCACTGACCCGGACATTTAAATCCGCAGAACAATGAAATACAAACATACAAACACATCCCTGCTCAACTCTTCCCTTAAATATCCACATGACACTTTACTAACAGACTTATTTTAACATACTCTTAGTTTGTTTATCATTATTTAGTGTAAATTTGCAATTTTTTTATTCTTAAATTATGTCTTATAGTATTGCACTGTGTTTATTGTCACGCACAAATCACTGAGCCAAATTTCTTGTATGTGCAAACGTACTTTGAATAAACCATCTCTGATTCTGAAGTTATGGTATGTAAATGTATCTTCCTATATACAGGTGTGGGCGACAGTAACAATTGTGCTATTATACCACTAGAGTTTTACTATATTATACCAGAGCTATTAACTATGCCTATGCTTTAATATTAGTTTAATAATTCTCTGTTTTCTGATTGCGTGTGTGTGTGTTTGTGAGTGTGTGTGTGTGTGTGTGCGCAACCACTCACCAGTTCGTACATGAAATCTGGGTCAGAGCTGGTGGCTAGCAGCTCAGTGCTGGTGAGGGCCTGGTCAGCGAAGGAGTAGTTCTGAAAGGCGTCAGCAAACGGAGGATCCATAGTGACGCTGGGCTGCAACACAAAATAAATAAAGACTGAAGTGAACAAACAGTAGTAGACCTCATCGTCACCAACATTAAAATATGATATCCCAAGTTCTTCCTTCTTACACTTCACTTTGTTTTGTGCAGGATGAAACCAGTCTACCTGTGTGACCACCCTCAGTCGGCCCGCTTACCTGAGGCATTGCAGAGCTCAGTTTAGAGCTCCAGCTTGGGGATACTCTTGGAAGAGATCTGAGGTTGTCCGATTAGCAGCAATTAATTACTGCTAAAAGGAGATGATCTGGTGTGGATGCAGCCTGCAAGGCTGGGGGGGGGGGGGGGGGGGGGGGGGGGGGGGGGGGGGGAGAAAGAGAGGGTGTCAATATTTGGGCTCAACCTGGTCTGGTTGGATCTGTTGGATCTTCAGGTCTGTGGAAAAAACAGAGTGCACAGATCAGAATTAGAGGAATTAATAGAGCCTAAACCAAGAAATAAGCCACCATTTTAACGACAGCTGCCGAGTTTGTTTGTTCATTTCCCACCAAAAGGCAAGATACATACTGACTTAGAATCAATATATCCAAACCGATTATTTATCCCGCCCTCATTTACAATGTTATTTAGATGGAGAGCTGTTTTGCCTCTTCTGAAATGTACTGTGCGAGCTAATGATACCAGAAATGAAAGTAAATGGCAGCAGCAAAACAGAGAACCAGTTTGTTTCCTTTGTGGTTTGTAGATATGGAAATACACATCTTAGTCTGCCTTCTCTGAAGGTGATATGATTGTGGAGGATATAATAACCCATTTTCAATTGTTAGAAAGGCTGACAACAGCATTTTGTTGTTGTAAGTTGAGAGTCATAAACCTTTTCATCAAACATTTGCCATTACCACTATTTATCATCAACATCCTTTCATTCACTGCCAGCCATGTAGCACCCCGGCCTCTCTGGTGCTTGCGTTATCTTACCGTGCAGCCGCATAAATAAGGGTGTCAACGAGTAATATGTCAGTGTGTTAAAGTCTGACAATGACGGTCCAAAAAGCAAATTCCTCACCGCCCTCCTCTTCACTGAAATCGGGAGGGGATTTCGGTAGCTAGGTTGCAACAGGTCACTTTAGTACAGTGTGAATGAAACTGTAACTACCTAAGGTTTTTAAAACCCTTACCAACAAGTAAACGCCCTACTGAACAATAACAATAGCCAGGCTTTTGTTTGTCACACAAAAAGCTTCTTCACATCATGGGAAACACTGTCCCAGTGCTTCTGAAAATGAAATGTTGCCTCCCGGATTCCCTCTGTTTACTGATAACTGCTGGATGGGAGGCGGGGCTAAGCCTAAATCTCTAGAGCTGGACCTAAAGTCAACAAGGCACTAGGCCACGCTAGTCTATCGTAATCTTTCCTCCTCTATTCCTCTTGTCCACTTCTGCTTTCACAGACGTATGACCTAAATTGATTCTGACGTTCGGGGGCCTGTTTGATGAAGCAACATTAGTGGATAGCCAGCTATCTTTGGGCTTGACTAAGGGGCTGGCTATCTTTTAAACAGTGTAGATTATCACGGTAACAAATGCTACACAGCTAACAGTCAGAGCAGGTTAAAGCTGCCAGTAGACTCCATCAGAACTGCTTGTCGGCTGGTCAAATAGTTTCGGGAACCCCGTCCCCTCGCACCTTTTCAACACCGAATTAGGGAGAGCTGTGTCCAAACATTTCTGTAACTTTCCAAAACCAACAATCAGACATTCACACCCACGTCACAATGTGATTGGTTAGCTGGAGCCAGAGTTTGAACTTAGCTCTGTAGATTTTTATCTGAAGACTTTATCTTTTCCTTTTTATGGGAACACCTGAGAGCAACACTATAAATGCCTTCCAGGAGAGACCATCTGAAAATGTGCACCATTATCCTCATATTTAAACAGCACTGCCCCCCCTTTCCATGGCGACCAGCTTTATACTTATACTTTGAATGCGGCCATTCTTAACAATTTAGCCTTCCAACATGGTCGGACAACACGTCATAAAACTAGTTCTGATCGAGCATTAACCAGTCGGCAACCTCCAGGTCTGAAAAGAGAAGGCAATGCGGAAGTGCCTTGAACGTGCATTATTTCAAATGGCCATGAGGGGGCGACTCCTCTGGTTGTATAGAAGTCTGTGAGAAAATGACTCTCCTTCTCAATTAAACTATTCCCTCAGTAAACATTGTGAACATGAGTTTATGGTCTCAATTGCTAATTTGAAGTCTTCTTCAATACAGCATGATATCATTTAGTAAATTATGGTTCCAATTATAGTAAACAACGGCCCAGAAAAACAAGATGGTGGTGGCCAAAATGCCAAACTCTGGGTCTCAAAACTGCAGCCCACAAACAAACGGGTGACGTCACGGTAACAACAACCACTCGTCGATTTATAGCGTAAGAGCATAACCCGACCACAACTTTCGAGAATCAGATCCAAAAAATGTCAAGAGCCCAAAAACTGACCAATAGAATCACTTCAAAAACTGAGCTATCGTTGTAAACGATACAGCGCTGCAGCTTAGCCTTGCTGCCAATTTGTCCCAGAGCAGCAGACATTTCATAGGTCTGTAAAATCACTTTTAACTACCATGATAATGAAGTCAAAGATAGAAGAAACATTTTTTTGTGTTTAATTTGGGTTGAAAACTTCTAACAAACAGAAAGTGCAGTAAAGGATCTGGCAGTGCACTCCAGTTAATAAGTCAATTAATCACTATGGGAAAGCCAGACCAGGCAGGCTGCAGAAATCCTCTTTGCCATGTGGCAGACAGTCAGTCGCTGTGAAAGGACTTTATCAAAGTAGTCAGCTGTTGTGTGCGTAGATGCATAGATGTAAGTGGACTGTTCAGTTAAGTGTTACATCAGTTACTGAGTAATCTGATGACTGCTCTATCAATTAATTCATTAATCATTTAGTCTATAAAATGTAAAAATGTTTGGCAGAGCCCAAGGTGAGGTCATTAAATGTCTTGTTTTCCCAGCCAACAGTCCAAAACCCAAAGATTTTCAGTTTAAAAATGATACAAAAAAGCATCAAATATTCACAGTTATGATGGTATAATTAGATAATCACTTTTATGATCATCAAAATAGATGCTAGTTATTGTTCTGTTGATGGACTAATTGATTAATCGACTAATGGTTTCAACTCTGATATAAATTAAGAAAACTGAGTGTTGTTATTAAGGGTTCTTGCTACATCCGAATATTGAAAGAATCTGTAAATATTTGTCTGCATTTCAAAGACTTGCAGGATGCTCTTCACTCATCGTGCTCTTCGTTCAATCAACAAACTGAACCAGCAAGTCCATTAGCAAAGTGCACAGCAGCTCTCTGCCGACCCAGTAGCAGCTGGAAGTCTTTGAGAGAATAAGCTTCTTAGAAGAACAAGAAACTTGGTGTGCAGTCCAATCCCCGCCCTCATTATTTGTTCGGAAAGCACCCAACAGCCTCCCCACATTCGTTCAGAGAGCATCTGATTTGCTTTGTGTTCATCGAGCTTAACCGTAACTTAATTTTCAATAATCAAATTCCACCCTCCCCTTCATTCTCTGCTTGCTCTCGCTTTCCTGCAACACCTACTGAGTCATCTTTGGGCCCTTTGCTGCTTTTGCAAAGCAAATAACTTAAAAATCTGCATGGAGACATGACCCCCTGCAGTGAACAGCTGACACACAATCGTACACCAATCCCACTCCTCTGGGGCCAGGGGGACGACATCACTTCCTCCCACAGGGTGCTGACCGACTAAAATGAACTTCTCACCCCAGAGCTCTGTCGCCATGTGTGTTCACAGTACTTTGCATAGAGACAGGAAGTGACAAGAAAACACGTCCGTACAACCCTATGAGTACAACAAGGACTGTAAAAGCAACACATTTGCAAAACAACATGCAAGCACACAAGTCTATACGCACAAATATCCACGTACACCCTTTTAAGGACCAACAGTATATTTGGAAGCTCAGGCTCTTGAATACGAATCGTGATCATTATCATATCTCAATATGTGCTTCCTTCCAGGGCACCTGTGTCTGGTGTCACTTGTCGCAGAAGCAGAATGAGGACGCATATGGCCTGAACACAACAGTACCTCTAGTAGCATTGATCCGGGCTCTCTGCTATCACAGAAGGAAACAGAAAGCCTTTGTGTGTACAAACATGCAGAAAACAACGCTCCTCACCTCTCCAGGCAAAGCTGCACTGAATATTTTCCAGTAGCAGAATTAAATTTAATCCAACCCACTGCTTAGTAGCTGACACAGTCTGTGATGTAGAGCCGGATATTTACGACAGAGCCTGACAAGCCCCAAAAGACTCGCGCTGAATGCCTCTCTCAGGCTTTGGTCAGCCTTAGTTCTGAGATGAAACCTGCCAGCATGAGATACTTTCTTTTAGCTTTTATACTTGGTATACTTGGTTTATGGTCACAACAGTCTCAAGTGTCGGCTTAGGTCAGGGTTTAAAATTTCAGATTTTCTACCGGCCTACTTTACAAGACTTTCTTTTTTCCCTTTCTATCGCATATAAGACATATAAACTGAAGAAGACAGACAATGCTCAACAGGACAGCATTTTTGCAGCATCATGCTTACATCTCAGAGGTGCATAGGGCGAGACAATTTTAGTTGAGTCTGAAACAAGGGCCGGCTTTCAACCATCCAGTCAAGGTAACACAACACTACCCTCACTCTCGGTAATTTCATTGACTTTTGATTATGTTACGATGCACTGTGGCTGCTGCTTCCTTCTCAACTGCTGCAGCTCACATGTTGGATATATCAAATGTCTTCTCACATAATTTAGAAAATGTGCTTTTGTTCTGTATAGCATGCCTTGACAACGAACTTTGACATGTGGTGTCACGGTGCAGTCTCTCTACAAACGCACAGTTTCCTGTGTCGATGTTCACACTTGCTGCTGTTTACGATGAGCTCAAAATGGACCCGGACAACAGCTCTGTCTTCTTTATAGCATTGGTTGGGGTTGCAGTATTTTGCCAAATAAGTGGATTTATGTATTAATCAAGTGGCAGAAAGAAAGCTTAATACAAAAGTGATAATTATACGTTTTAGAATTAATTTGTTCAAGTAAAAATAACAACCAGCTACCCGGTGTTTCCTCCCCTCTCTGTTGGTTCAGGTCTGGACAAAAAGAGGAGGATAGTGGTGACTCACTATCATGCAAACAGCTCACATTCTTCGCCTCACAACATTGGACGTGATCCAAGTAGGTCAATCAGCAGTGTCATATCTGGAATGAGTTACATACTGATACCAGTTGGTCCCTGATTCCTTAACGGATAAAAAGCAGGAGATGCCCGACTATTTAAGATAAGATAAAATAAGATAATCCTATATTAGTCCCGTAGCGGGGAAATTTACAGGATTACAGCAGCATATAGTATAGTGCAAACAAGAGACAGTAAAAAACAAGATCAAAACAAGTATTATAAATAAGTAATAAAACAGTAAAACATATTAACTAAGTACAAAAGTAAAAAAAATCCACAATAACTAAAATATAACTAAAAATATTATATATAAAATATTATATTTGCTAAATAAGAGAAGCTCTGAGCATCATAAAAGGCCATTAATCCAACACTCCTAAATGTGCGTGTACAATGCGGCAACACACACACAGATTATGGATCAGCCAATTGTGCTTAAAGTTTGGGACTTTTAACGTCTCAGTTATGGACATTTGTGATTGGACGGTGGTATAAGAAGGTAGGTGACAGTAGGGCGGGCCAATCAATACTAATGACTATGCATCACTTGTGTATTGACTTTCAGTGGAATCATACTGTGTGATACATGATCACAGCATCACATTCATCTTTCATCATTTCACAAAGACAAATGTTTAAGTTGGAAATTTAGCCTTAAACAACAGAGAAAAACAGCTCATATATAACAACAGAAAATAGTTTGTATTTTTATCATGATACTGATTCCAGTCATTTCACTCAGTTCTACTCGACAGATAAGATATTCATCTGAAATATGTATCACAAGATGGGTTTATGGGTAGAAGTCATGGTTAGAGAGACCAGCCCACTCCGTCAACAAGATGCCCGACGAGTGCAAATGCTTTCTACAGTTCACTGAACAGCCCTTGCACCAGAGTTCTGCACTATTAACAGCAAATGAATTGCCGCTATGTGGCTATTCAGGTTAAATTCTGTTGAGCATTTAAAAAGACACATGCTAAACAAAATTTGATGGGTTAATTAATAGTGTTGTCTTACTTCCCATTGCTCATCGATTATCTCAATTTTACTACATTCTACAGCTCAGACCAATGAGAATGAGCATGGGTTCAGTTTGAGAAACAATCATCAAGTATATGTCACAACTGATAGGTATTCTTTACTTCAGATGTCTAGGTCTAATCCACAGCAGCTCTGTAACACAACTACACTCCTGCAGGAGGATTACTGTAAGCTAGTGGGTCCCAAATTGGGGGACGCCCCCCTTTGGGGTGTCACAGAGCCATTGCAATGGGAACACGCATGACCAGAGGAAAAAGCGTGGTAAACTAAAGTTGAACAGAACTTTCTCACAGCAGACACTTTGACGTGTCAAACACAGGTGTAACTAATACCATTGTTAATTGCGGAGCTGCATTGCAATCATTTCTGAATCCGAGCCATGGTTATGTTTTTAGCTCCACCCGAGCTTTTCCTGCTACGACAGGGCAAAATGTCTGAGGTGAACAACGTCAATCAATCCGATTCATTTGGGGATGATACAGAGTTAAGTACACGTAGAGGGTAACTTCGGTATCTTCTAACTTGTATCCTATTTCACCATGTTTTTGTTTAAAAGTGACAACTATTTTTTTAATTAGTCAAGTTTTGAGCAAGAATGCTGCAGACACTAAGCAGTCGATGTAAACGCTGGTTTATCTGGTTTATTTGTTATTGTGTTTCTGACTTGGAGAAGTCTAACATCGCATCGCATCCACATTGTCAGAAATGAGCTAAATATGCCAGCATTCACATTGAATATGTTGCGTTGCAACAAGTTACATGACACAAGAATACTGAAGTTGTAAGTACAAGAAAAGCTATTCTGGTGATGCTCATCAAGCAACCACATCAGTCGAATCTAAATGACAAAGTCTATGAGGAAGTCTATCTTGATCTCAAGTATCTCAAGCATCAATAAAGCAGGAGAGCCTTGTGTGTAAAAACATGTGGGCATTTAACTTTTCATGAGAATTATTCGCACACAGATCATATTCTTGGTCATGTTATTTCAATAAGATTCAACATGAACATGGATCCTCTGCTATATATACACAAGCACATGGTCGCAACCTAATTAGGATAATAAGTTAATAACGAAAGAAAAATTAAACACTAAAAAGGGACTTCTCAAAATACCCTGAATCTGATACATGCGATGGTTATGATATAGCCTGCAAATGCTTTTATTTAACCAGCACTGTTACAAAAGTAACTGATCTAGTAAAGACACTGATGGTAAAAGCACACTTTTAAAACAGTGTATTAACAACCACAATTCCAGTAGAAAAACACTTGACAAAAAAGGTATGAAAAAGTCTTAAATAAAAATTAAAAATATAAGAAAATTTAACTCAATATTTAAAAAAAAATGACATCTCTACATATCTTTGTGATGGATTCACTTGTTTTGAAGAGTCAGAGTGCACAAACGTCTACATCTCAACATCATCATTATCACCATCTAACAGGCGGGTATGGATGACAAAATACCTTTCATCAACACCAACGGTTCCATAGATGTCACCAGTCTCTGCACTCATCACAGATCTTCAGCAAAGCAAAACAAACCTCAACCTAACCGGTAGAGCCAACACCCACCTAATCCTTCAACCCTATTGGGCGAGCGGAAATAACGTTCCGCCTCCAGACGTGCCTCAATGGCCGCCACGACTGTCACTCCCAGCAACTGCTGCGTACTAAACAACCCGTTTCAATCTAGGTTGAGGCAGAAGATAAACACGTTGGAGGCCTACATGTCCGTGGCCTAGATAAGATATATTTAAAAGATATTTAATGTCAAATCTACCACAAAACCTGAACACAACACAAGATTATACATCAATCCGTGGCATTTGTTAGTATTTATACTTAAGAGGAGAAACGAAATCAAACGTTCATCTGCAGAAATCGGTTGATAAAACTATATACACCGTGTTGTTGAGGTGGAAATCCATAATAATCTCTTATGAGAAAGAAATCGTAACTCAATATATCTCCTCGGTGTAAACATAAGTCTGATTCGGGTCTATTATTGAACTTGCAGCACATGGAAATTTCTAGCAGTGTCGAGCCTTTTTTTACCAGCAGCACCGTATGGGTCTCGTGTTGGGGGGGCGTGTTCCTCCAGAGAGCACGAGCTGCCTTAAAAAGTCAGCGTCGAACATTTCACTGGCGCACCAAGTCTTCTATGACCATAAACACAGTTAAATACGGTTCGATTATGTTCTTCTTCACATAGCAAATAGCGGTAAGTATGTTGTAAAAGCACAGCATGATTTGGACACTTGAATTGTTCTTAAATAAGTGCAGGTTTTAACCACCCGCACCCCGACTACGACATGTAACCCCACCGACCAGTTAATAACAGGACATAATCATCAAAACCAACGGAAAATAATATTTGGGCATATATAGCTCGAACTGACATTTGACAGTGACGGACACGTCTCTCAGATCACCACGAAGCGTTAGCTACATTTCTCCACCGTAACAAGTCCTGCAGGAGCTAGATGAACTGCAATGCACAATAAGAAACACGTTTAGCGTATTACTTTCACCAAACTGTGTGGTTTTTTTTAAGTGGAACCGACGAATCCTGTTTCCCTTTCACGTCAGCTCAGCCAGTATGGCCTCCGTCTGCGCCCCCTTCCTCGTCCCAGTTGAAGCCCGATACACAACAACAACCTTACCGTTAGCTTCACAGCTAATCCTCTGCAGCGGAGGACACGCAAATCCTCTGCTCAGCAAAGTTCCCCCGAAACGGATAAATAACGGTGCTACTTACTTTTAGGGCGCCCGTGCATACATATCGCTTCGTTTCGGACCTCGTGTATGTTCCCCTGTTGGAAATAATAGGATCCTCTTTTCAATGGAGTCCACACGCCTCCGTCTCGGGTTTGTTTTGTTTTTCTCCTTCCTGACGGGTTGTTTGAAAGCGCGTGACTACCCGACCACGTGGTGCGCCACTGGGCGAATAGGAGCAGAGCCTTAAAGCTGGGTGAAAACATTTCACCAGTCTCATGTAATATTGTAATAGAGAGGAATACGGAGGTTAGTCCACGTCCCAATATCTACTTTGTGTTGTTAAGACCAAACACCAGTAAGAAATTATCAAAAAGATACTTCATTTTCTATTAAGTTATTCAGTTAGGGATTTCTGTAAAATGTGAATTATCACATGATGTTATGAATGCTGTTTCATAGGGATTTCCAGTTTTCCATGAATATAATTCTGGTGTAGACATATACAATAATTATTGACTTAACATCATTGCATTTTAAATGCATTAAGGTACCCTGTGGAGCTTTGACAAGTAGCACGCTTGAGCAAATGTGTTTGTGAGTTGATCTCCTTTTTGTTTGTTCTCATGCACAAGGGCACACGTGCATGTGTCACCCACAAGTGGTTTCACACTTTTCCGTTGATTTACTGGTGGCAAACGAGCAAAGAAACAAAGCATGGCACCAGCAGGGAAGAAGAGCAATCACTAGCAAGTAAACAAGATTGTAACAGAGTGCAGGGCTCCCCATTAAAACAAAAAAAGTTCTGCTTTGTGAAGGTTTTGTCAGGAGGGCCTGAAGAATACACAAAGTGCATTTTGGTGCGTGACACTGAATGTAAACAGGAAACTTAGTTTACAGGAAAACTCCACAGGATATCATTACGTTCATTCATTACATTCATTCATTACATTTTTTTGTGAACATTAAACATTTATTGATTGCATTTCTCCATAACATATAGTTTTCAGCCCCCACCTGTAGAAAACTGTTTCAAGATAAGTTAAAAGCAATCAACTGCCTGATTCCCATTAACTCACAAACAGTCTCCATTGAGCTCAGTCCAAAATAAATTATCTATAAGCCGCTGTTCCAGGAAGCCGCCTCCCCACTTTTACCGGAAATCGAAACTGTGACTCCAGCCATTACAAAGTGTGACAACTTCGGGAAAAGAGCGATGATAAAAGCAGTTGGTCTGAGTTGAAGCTTTTAGAGAAAACAACATATTATTCTTTCACTTTCAGTATTACTCAGGAGAGATAAACGAGCGTCAACACAGTACTGGGTCTGAAACAAACAGCCACAGCAGAGCCAGGGAGCCAGGGAAGAAAATAACATCACAAGATGCAGGGGAACTCTCAGAGTAACCTATGACCTCCATCCTGCAGCTGGCAGAGAATGAGTGGCTGGATCTTTCTTTACGGTGTGTCCCCCTCTTACCTGAAAATCTGTGCTGACCAGCTGGCCCCCATCTTCACGCAGATCTTCAACCGATCACTGGAGCTGTGTGAAGTCCCCTCCTGCTTCAAACGCTCCACGATCATCCCGGTCCCCAAGAAATCCTCCGTCACAGGATTAAATGACTACAGGCCCGTCGCCCTGACGTCTGTGGTCATGAAATCCTTTGAGAGACTGGTGTTGACCCACCTGAAGAACATCACAAGGCCCCTGCTGGACCCCCTGCAGTTTGCCTACCAGGCAAACAGGTCGGTGGATGATGTAGTCAACATGGGACTGCACTACACGCTGCAATACTTCGACTCCCCAGGGACATATGCAAGGGTTCTGTTTGTGGACTTCAGCTCAGCGTTCAACACCATCATCCCAGCAATACTCCAACCCAAACTCTCCCAGCTCACTGTGGCAGCCTCCACCTGTCAGTGGATCACAAACTTCCCGACAGACGGGACGCAGCAGGTGAGGCTGGGAAAAATCACATCCAGCACCCGGACTATCAGCACTGGTGCCCCCCAGGGGTGTGTGCTCTCCCCACTGCTCTTCAGCTGGTTCTCTGGTGTGGTCAGAACAACCTGGAGCTGAACAAGCTCAAAACTGTGGAGATGACAGTGGACTTCAGGAGGAGCCCCCCAACACTGGCCCCCCTCACCATACTCAACAGCACTGTGTCTGCGGTGGAGACCTTCAGGTGTCTGGGATCCACAATCTCCAAGGATCTGAAGTGGGCCTCCAACATCGACACCATCATGAAAAAGGCCCAGCAGAGGTTGTACTTCCTGCACCAGCGCAGGAAGTTCACCATCATCCAGTCTGTCCTCTGCTCCTCTATCACTGTGTGGTTTGGATCGGCCACTAATCAGGACAGGAACAGACTACAACGGACTGTCAGGTCTGCAGAGAGAATTACTGGCTCCAGCCTGCCCTCCATCCTGGACTTGTACACCTCCAGAGTCAGGAAATGGGCAGGAAAGATCACTGCAGACCCTGGCCACAAGCTGTTCCAACTCCTCCCCTCTGGTAGGTGCTACAGAGCACTGTACGCCAAAACCACCAGACACAGGAACAGCTTCTGTCCACTGGCCATCACTCTGATGAACAATTAATCATACATTAGTCATACTGCACTATTACCTCCATCACCTCAATTCCACTGTCATTGTTGTTGTATATATTTATGTTTATATATATATATATATACAGTTGTGTGAAAAAGTGTTTGCCCCCTTCCTGATTTCTTATTTCTTTGCATGTTTGTCACACTTAAATGTTTCAGATCATCAAACAAATTTAAATATTAGACAAAGATAACACAAGTAAACACAAAATGCAGTTTTTAAATGAAGGTTTTTATTATTAAGGGGGGAAAAAATCCAAACCTACATGGCCCTGTGTGAAAAAGTGATTGCCCCCTAAACCTAATAACTGGTTGGGCCAGCATTAGCAGCAACAACTGCAATCAAGCGTTTGCGATAACTGGCAATGAGTCTTTTACAGCGCTGTAGAGGAATTTTGGCCCACTCATCTTTGCAGAATTGTTGTAATTCAGCCACATTGGAGGGTTTTCGAGCATGAACCGCCTTTTTAAGGTCATGCCACAGCATCTCAATCGGATTCAGGTCGGGACTTTGACTAGGCCACTCCAAAGTCTTCATTTTGTTTTTTTGTGTTTACTTGTGTTATCTTTGTCTAATATTTAAATTTGTTTGATGATCTGAAATATTTAAGTGTGACAAACATGCAAAAAAATAAGAAATCAGGAAGGGGGAAAACACTTTTTCACACAACTGTATTTATATACTTTTGGATATTTATTTATATTTATATTGTACATAGTTGTTAAATGTTTATACTTACTTCTGTTCTACTTTTTTTTTGTCCTTGTTTTATTTTCTATGTTTTTCTTGTTTATTTGTAATCTTGTGTATGTACATTGAGAGCAAAGCAAAGTACGCATACATGGCCAATAAAGCTGATTCTGATTAAACCCACCATTGGATCTATGCATCTGTGCAGGTCAGTTAAAGCTGGCAGCAGTATGAACACAGCAGCTCTACATGCTTCCACTGCGTTGATCTAACATATCACACACACACATCAAACGGCCTGCAGAGAGCTCTGCCAGGTTGAGGATGGGATGAAATGTGGTTTGTGTGTGTGTGTGTGTGTGTGTGTGCATTCTGGTGAATTGGTGAGCTTCTACTGAAATGTGACTTGTTTTTCCATTCAACAGGGTTGTTATTATTAAAACTCATGTTAGTGACTTCCATGCAGGGCACACAACATTGTATTATGATGTATTATGTGTTAATAACTCTGGAGTGTAGGTTCATTTCGGTAAATGCTTGCTGACATTATATGCATACATTTTTTTCTTACCCCCACATGTTCACTATTCCTTTTTTAGCACAAATACAGTGTAATATAAGTCCGACATATCATTTTGTCAACTTATCAAAGTACAAAGCTGCCCGGAAATCCAAAATACAAGAAAAAATGACAAAGGAGCCTCTAAAAATTCACACATTATAGTTATAATTACTCAAAATGTTACTATAGGATAGCCCAAGGTTCAAATAAATAGTGTTTGATACTAGCGTCAATAGGATTTATAAATAAAAGTTATGTTACTATAAATTGGACATGCTCAGCACATTCACCAATGATTGATTGCAGATGTTGTTTTGCTCTGGTTTATGCTCTTAGATGCTTGTTTAAAAAAGGAGACGCACTTATGACTTCTGGTGACTCGTAGTTCTCTTGAATACCGATGTTGAATACACTTATTGTAAGTCGCTTTGGATAAAAGCGTCTGCTAAATGACTGTAATGTAGTGTTTAGTTTTCAAACTCAACACTCACAGCAAGGGTTGAAAGTACTTCTGAGATCTTAAAGGAGTATTGAGGTGATTTTTCCAACAATGCAACCAATTAGCATTTTTTATCCATTTTCTACCTGGTAAATGTGAATAATATCACTAGAGCATGGAAACTAATTTCAGATCTCTGTGAACAACATAAGAAACAAAACAGATGTAACAAATCAATCCAAGTTAAGCACAATTCAGTCTTCACTCAGAAGATGGAGCTGGCTTGTGACCTCATGTAACCTAATTTCTGAACTATTGGTCATGTGATAACGGGCAAACCTGTTTCAAGGAGTTTCTTTGGCGTAGGATGTGAATCACCTGTTTGATATTGAGCTCGCTCTATTCACTGAATGAAGACCGTGAGCTGTGGTTGAAAGCTCTGAAAGCCAGTCGGTGTGCCTTTGAGTTTAGATTTTTTGTTAAATACCGTTTCATCGTGGTGGTTTTCTCAGACTCTAATTGTCTCCTCTGGGAAAATGTGTTTTATTCATCAAAGAACATTTATCCAAATATTGTACTTAAGTACAACTTTGAGGTATTTGTACTTTACTTGATTATTTTCATGCTTTCATACTTTATACTTCTCCACATTTCAGAGACAAATATTGTAGCTTTTACTCGACTACATTTATCTTTAGTCACTATTTAAGTGCAGATTTAGATTATTAATACAAAATATTAATTAGCAAATACATTTTAAAGGTTAAGCTACTTTTGGTACTTTAAGTATATTTTGCTAATAATTCTTTAGTTCTTTTACTTCAGTAATAGTTTGAATGCAGGACTTTAACTTGTAACAGAGTGTTTATAGGCTCAATCACCACTGTGTTACCACTTTCAGTGATAGTGACTTAACAGACATTTATTTATATGAAGATAAAGGAGCATAAATGACCCACGTTGCACCGAATTGAATCAAATGTTTCGAGTCTTGGGACAATTTGTTTTCCAATGTTCCCTCATTCTATTATCAGCATTGTGATTGTTGCTGCTGGGAAGCCATGGAAGAGCAGACACAGGGCCCATTATACACAACATTATAATAAACAGACTACTGTGGGGAAGAGGATACGCTTTGTTGTCGGCCTCTTCGTGCTTTCCACTTCCTTGAATGTTTTACAGTCTTGATTATGAATACAGTCCACGGCATCGTCCTGGAACGGCTCATTTTCAAACACTTCACAAGAGGTCGGCTGGAAAATACAGAATATATTTCATAGCGTTTAAATCATTAGATGGTGAATCAATCTTTCTCCACTGAGAGCAGAAATCTGTCACAAACCTTAGCGGGTCCATGATGGTCTGATACCATTCATTTAGGATCTTTGACATGAAACAGTTGGTGATCTAGAGGACAGTCACAGGATCTCAAATGAACTTCTTGAGATATACAGTAAGGTCACTTCTTCAATTCCAGGGCACAAAGAAATAATTTAGTGGGTAAATTAGGCAGATTTGGGATCTCTTAATTGGAGCCCAGTATGAAAACGCCCATCATCACAGTGACACAAAGCTGCAGCATGTCGTCCGTTTAACTGCATGGACGTGATTTATGAATCTGTAAACCAACATTTTACACGTTAGACATCCTGTTAGTGACATATCACTTTCATAACTTTATTTATTCCCATTCTGGTAGAAGAAAATTCAACTTCAGATAACCCAAACACCGGCAGAGTGAAATCAACAAATCAATCTTCTTCTGCGTAATTATTACTAGACGGGGAATAAAACCTGAATGCCCACAATAAATCAGAGCGAGTTTTCAGTGTTTTTTTCATAGCAATCCATCCAATACTTTAAATTCATCAACAGTCATTATAAACAGTTGCAATATTTTGTTTATCGGGCAAATGAAATATGTTGATACTGTACTGAGCAGAGAGTTACATTTGTAAAGCAATAGTAGTTAGATATGAACAGTCATAGAAATCTGCTATTTGACATAATAATCTGGACTCACGGTCTCTCTACTCACTCTGTCTCAACTTTTAATCACATCTCACGACCTAGTGGATGGAGGTAACTCAGTCGGTCAGTTCGTGAGGATTCTGAGACGATGTTGAAAGTGAACCTTGATTGAGATTGTTTTGTCAATCCCTATATGGTCAATCCACAAGATGGTTCTATAATAATCATTGTGACCATAACTTTTACAGCATATCATAAAGGTGTAGTATTGCAACAAATATTTGACTCTTCTGTACAAAAGCTGCTGCGGAGTGAAAAAAATAAAAATAAAAAATAAATAAATAATTATTTAATTGGTCTTCATTTCAGATCGACCACCATGATTTCTGACGCCAAGGTTTTCAGTTGACATCAGTTAAATTAGGTTTTCCGAGTCCAAAAAAATCCACTTTTTTCAGTTTTAAATGAACAAAACAAGGCATTTCTCAGTTACTTATGAAGATAATCAACAGTCACGGTTTTCACATCACGCCATCTTTTTAGGCACTTGCCATTTCTGAGAGCGAATGTCCAACTCTGTCTTCATATGAGTTTTTCCAAGATTACAGCGCTTATTAAATGTAGTATCTCAATAAAGATTTAGGGCTTGAGAGAAAAGTGTCATCATCATCATCATCATCACCAGCAGCGCCACGGATCTGTCCTCTGCTTTCATTTGGTCCAGTGTGAAAGCTTGTTGGCTCTGTTCCCCGAAAACAATTCTTTCCACTGGATTATGCAACAAAAGCAGCAGGAAAGGGAGACAATGAAATAGTCTGATGAAAGGGGCAAAAGAGCACAGCAGCAGTGGCCACTGAATAAAGATTTTATTAATTTACACAAATCCTACAGAAATAAGTTTATAGAGATTCAGGACTTAACAGTCCTTAAATGTATGACAGAGGGCTGGTTTATGTGCCTGAAGGCAGTTAAACCGCTGATCTGTCTCATGTGTCACAGCTGTTATTCCAAGAGCGTTTTCTTGATTCAACCACAGCCTTTTCTATTTACACAGAGCATCACCAGTGACCTTAAACTGGTGCTCATATTAACTGGTGTTCATTCACACCACTGACAACTCAATAAGACGGTGACTCCCGAAAGTCCATTCACTTCAGAGTGAAATAAATAATAGCTGATGTTTGACTCAGTTGCTTGGTTTCCTTATTTCTTGGCAAAGCAAAGCTTCCTGCAGATGCATTTTTGGATGAAACCACTAACTAGCATTAGCAATCAATCCCCAACCAGTACTGAAAAATGTCTTCTATGTCTGCAATGTCTCTGGCATAGAAAACGAAGCAATCAGCGAAATCAAACTGGTCTTTGAGAAGTAGCGCAGGACCACAGTTTTCTTTAGTGGTGTGATTAAATTAGTTTTAGACTTGACTTTGATACTCGTTTTTCTTTTGTCTGCTTAAGTTTCTTCAGGATAAGGCAGGGAAAGATTATGTTCAACGAATTACTCATTGATTCAGTCTATTAAATGTATGTTGCATTACTTGGATGTGTCTCAATATACTCAGCCACTTGAGACGTCAGTCAAAATTAAAAATGTAGCACCTTAATACGGATGCTGTAGGGTTTACAGTTGACCAGGTCATAGCTCAGTCTTGATCCTGTGCATCAGATCTTTCTGGTCCACCATGTCCGTCTGTCTGTTCCAGCGGTGGTAAGCCAGCAGCGCGATGTTCTTGGCCGCTACCGAGCTCATCTCCATCGCGCTGCCGGCCAACTCGATGCCATTGAGGTAGTAGAGATTGGGGTGGAGCTCCACAGGCGACAGTCCCTGGCTGCTGCCGTAACAAGGGTAGGCCTGCCACTCCGTCACCTGCACGGAGTAGTACGACCTGAGATTGAGAGGTACAGTAAAAGAGGGAAGTTGTTACTCCGATTGGTGCTACCATGAGGTCGTAATGTTTGTTTTTCGTGAAATATCTTGACATGTATTTGGATTGCCATGACATTTTAAACACACACATTCATGGTTCCATCGGGATGAATTGTGAGCCCATAACTTTTCATGTAGTACTATCATCGAGTCAAAATATTTACTTTGTTAATGACCAAATACCTGCAAAACTAATGCCATTCCCATCAGCCTCAGCTGTACTTCGTGGTTTGCGCTAATAAGCTAAATTTATACGCCAACTACGGGAAATTACGATGCCATTATTCACAATTTTCTGGACCAAATGACTAATTGAGATTGAAGATAATTGCAAAATTATGTAATCGTGAAAATAATAGTTGCGGCCCTGGCTAATACCATGATTACGTTGCTGAGGAGGGAGTGGCTGACCTGAACAGTGTTTTGAGCTGAGCCTTGTCCAGAGGTTGTGGTGAGAACACTTTATAGACTCCAGCCTCTTGTGGCTGCTTACGCCGGAAGCCAGTCGAGATGTTGACGGGACAAACACTTGCCACGCTGTTGAAAAACAGATCGAGCGTCTCGGTCGTCAAGACACTGGCGAAGGGAAAAAGGCGAGGGTCCGGGAAACCAAAGAAAGACGTGTTGAGGTAACCGTGGACAATGGTTGCTACAGTGCTGTGATAGTTGCCGGGGAGCTCCTCAAAGGGAGGGGTGAAACCTTGGAACCGGATCCCGGACCGGACGCTGGCCTGGAGCGGCGTCGCCAACACTACGATGTCATACAGCGCCGATCCCGTCTCTGATGCTGTGGTGAAGCTCAGCTGGTACTGGGGCACCTCGCCTGTCAGGAAAACACACACAATCAAAGTCAACACTGTACGACATGATTCAGATACAAATCTATCTCCATCACTCCCCTTGAATCTACTAGGGATGCACGACAGTTTTGTAGCATTTAGAACCGAACAGCGGCCCTAGATTGGCCGTTTTCACATCGACCGCAGTAGTTCTCCTACTTGCTTGGCACGCTGGAAAAGATTGAGTTGGTTGCAATTTGTAACCTCACCGCTAGATGCTGAAAAATATTTCCGTGCTATCACATGGGGTGTCGGTTGCTGTAAAACTCAAATTATCGTGGCCTTTCTTAACTTCCATACTTGTGTCTGCCCCAGTAGTGACACGTTTTAATGATGCTTATACCCGGGTTACAAGTTTCTAATATTCTGCTCCTGTGGATTGTACCCGAGTAGATGGGTGAGATGGAGCCGACTTGTGCTTGCAGCAGGTTAGCGTTGGCCATCTTCAGCAGGCCGGAACATACCAGCTTGTTGCCTCCTTCCACCGCCCACAGGTTGTTCTGGGCACCAGCTAAAGACACAGCACCTGTAACACACACACACACACACTCTCACAACAGACGGGGCCAAGTGCTGTAAACCAATTACCAGCTGCCCACACATTTTCCTGTTCTCTTGCTCCCATAGGCCACCCCTTCATCTCACCTTTCTTCCCTCTCTTCTATTTTTGACTCGTGCTCCTCCCTTCCGCATCCCATCTCTTTTCCTTCCTTTCCTCCCTCCCTCCCTCCTGACCTACATCAGCACTAATTTCAGCACCGCAGCCTTACTCTTCCCCATCTCTTTTCTACTCATCAACCCCCCCGTCGCTCCCTCTTCTTCTACTGCTCATTTCTTCACACTCATCTGACCTACAAAGGCGGGGATGCTGACGTTCTGTCCGTAGTTGACCCTCATGACCGGCTCGACGACCTCGTCGATGAAACGCTGCGACACGCCCAGCTCCAGCAGCGAATCAGAGAGAGGCCTCTGGGTCATGTTGATGAAGCCACTCCCCCCAAGAGAGTCCAATAGTTCCTCCACCGAGCTGAAGGCATAGCCGTGGGCCTGGTATTTGTAGATCCTGTATTATACATGCAACAAATAGTGAATTATCAATTACAGAAGTCAATTACTAAATCAGTGGGCCGATTGCCTCGTTCCTATCTGAAAGCCTAATCTGTGCAAAACCAAAAGACAGAGAAACAGACAGAGGGATATACAGGCTCACAGTTGTTGATTTAGAGAGTGCAACAAAGACTAAATGATACAGGAGATAAATCACTTCCTGAGGGAGGAAATATAGGTCAATGAACAAAGGCGCTGCATCTAAGCCTGGTTCATGTTTCAAACAGAAACTGAGTCAAAATAACATAATTCCAGAAGAATATTCATTGTCTTGGCCATATTTATGAGGCTGTGCACCACCTGATATCTGAAACAGAACTGGCTGATGGAAGACTTCAGTTCTGTTGTTGTACTTATGCAGACGTCACATTTGGAAAGTCACACACTTAGTTGAGGTTTTGCAGTGATTACAGCAGCAGGCGTAGGACATAATAAATAGCTCAGCATAGGTTTGACCCATTGACTGCCACACTGTGAGGCAGTATCGTGCAGTCATTCTATTCCTAAAGTAATTGTTTCAATAGTCTATGATTCAATTGAGTGAAAACAAAGGCGGCAAGAAAAAGGTTTAAACCTGAATGGCTTTGCTTGATCACTGGAGCAAATTAGTTTGGCATCATTTAAAAGTAAAGAATACTTTTTAGATCAGCTCTATGTTATCCTGGACTACCAGAAACAGATGGGGGGAAATATGGAGCAGACCAGGCAGATTAATCCCGTATTATTTTGAAGTGGTGCAAATATAAACTAAACGCTTTGACACAGCAGCATAGATCCAGGTTTAGCGGCACCACAGCTACATCCTGTCGAGCAAACGGGGCACTAATATTTCTGGCTCACCTCATGAATTTCTCCATAATTTCCTCCACCCACATCTGAAGACGGATGAAGCTGATGCCGTAGCGCCACCACAGGCGGAACAGGTCCAGCAGGTACCAGTCCGTCTCCTCCAGAATCATCTCCTCGCCGTTAAACACTGCCGTCTTACCTGCCACGCTGCGTCGGTACTTTAAACCTGGGAGGTGCGGACACAAGATGATGCAAAGGACAAACACAGTTACACACAGGCACATGGAACATTTTCAAATTAAAATATAAATATTTTCCTCTTTATACTTTACAAACTGTGATTTGACATTGATCCACTTATTTTTCTCTGAACCTTTCTGGACTTGATATAAACAAAAAGATGTAAACAGTCATGTGGTCCGTTTACTTTGGCAGGGCACTGAATACTGGATGCAGAACCACTACGATTCGTCTTCCAGTTAGAGAGTCACACGTGTAGCGCTGCTTATTAAATTCAAACCATCAACCTTTCTTGACTGATGAGCACTTTTCCTGCTCAGCTTACATCTGCTGGAGGCACAAAATGAATCTGATCAAGCTAGATACTTATTTTCATCTGTGTTACACAGGATCTCTGTATTCTGCTAAAAGCAAAACCCATTTTCTTAGCTTGCAACCCTGAACCGATGTTTGCAGGTCCCACTGGGATTCACCTTTGTTACTGAAGTCCAGCTCTCGTTTTAACTCACTTTTGACTATTTAACATGCAACCATACATCCTTTCCTATAAAGATAACTAGAAAAGGACGGACAGTGACTAAATGAATGCTACGCAGTCACACACTTACTGTCTTCTCTGCCTTGTAAAGCTTTGGGTGTCGTGTGTGTGTGTGTGTGTGTGTGTGCGCACACAAACCTAGCTGTTTGACAAACTCCTGCATGTGGAGGTTGAGGGAGTGAATGATGGAGCCTCCAGACTCGTAGTCGTTGTGATTAACGGTTACAGTGGCAAGACGACCTCCGACCTCCCCCTTCTCAAACACGTCTACCTGGACCTCAGGGCCAAAGTGCTGCCGCAGGAAATGGGCTGTGGCACTGCCTCCTATCCCCGCCCCGACCACCGCTGGAGCACGGAGGATCAGAGGCAACGACAGAGAAGAAGAGTGAAATCAGAATGTGGCTTTGGAGTGAAATTTGGCAGAAAACTAATGACCATTAATCACACTGAATCGTTTGTATTGTTGTATGGCATCTGGGAGTTTAAAGACATGATAACATGTATGTTACTCAATATATAATATATTTATATAGAATATAAACTAATCACAATTGAGCGATTAAAAAGTATTTTTCAGCTTGTAGTGGTCAGTTTTCATATCTAGAGCTGGAGAGAGTAACAATGGTGTCTTTGAGGGGGTGTTGGGGTAATGCTGTAGAGGGATGTAGGTAGAGCATTTTAGAAATTTCCATTTCAGGGTTTACCTTAAACAGCGCATTTAATATGATTCAATACAAAATCATGCAAGTCTTTGATTGAGATTGATTGTTCAAGTAATTTGACAAACAAAAATGCTCTTCTTAAATATGAGATGGACTTCTTTCTGTTGTATATCACTGTACAAACACTTTATATATTTGGGTTTTAGACTGTTGGCTGGACAAGATAATAAAAATAATTGTTAGTCCCAATTCATGTTGCTTGTTCGAACACATTTTATTTTACTTTAAGACTTGACCAGACTTTAAATTGCAGCACAAGCAATGTTGTACCTTTGTCAAAAAAAGTAGTTGCAAAATGTACATGCACTGATACTAATGGGGCAAACAATGATTTTCATACGATGCTAATGAAAAAAAAAGGTATGCATTGAACTGTGAGACAGGAGGACTCAGGTGGTGACGTTACATCCAATAACAAAAATGAAATTTACAATTTAATAGCAACATAAAAGAGGATTAGCTAACGACCACAAACGAATACATTCACTTTATTATCCGAATCAGACTAGCTTGTAACCCTCTGAATGCGGGCTAACAGAGGCTAAATTCAACAGCTAACCATCATGTTTAACAGTGCTTTTCTTGCCTATTTTAGAAGGCGGAGCTCCGTCGACATGAGCGGATCCCGTCGGGTCTCCGACACCCGACCACACCGACAGCACCACGACGAGCAGCGGGAGAAGACGGCCGCCCATAGCGGCTCCAGAGCCGAGACAACCGGGAAGGAGAGTAGGCGAGCGGGTGCAGCGACAGTTAGCACATGAGGTCAATGCTAACGTTAGCTCCTTTATTTACTCTTTTCTTTACGCCGACTGTAACGTTATGTTCACAACAACGGATTGCACGTCAGTGGAATCTGTCGCTGTAAATGAGTGGGACTGAGTTTTAAACGGGGTCGCGATACATACTGCACAGATGTCTTTAATGGCTCTACAGCTCAATTCTCCAATCAATGGTCGTTCAAATCCACGTCCGGAAACATCACGTGATTAGAAAGAGACCTCGTTTTGACCAATCACAGCCGTGAACGCAAGATATCTATGTACGCACTCTTGTACATTGTATTTTTACCATTTCCAACGTGTTGTAGTTGGACGGATTAGCTGTATGCTTAAAACTCTTTGTAAAATAACGTTCCGAAACCTCACTGGAGTGAATGAATGAGAAAGTAACTCGTTGACCAATTTAAATATGATACATCATAATTATATCATCCTCCACGGAGAAAACATGTCACCCTCAATGTATTAGGTTAGGGTTGATTTCTCCTTATATATCAGCGCTTCCTTAAGTAACATTTACACAAGAGTAAGTAGACTACATGTGAGGTGTTCATTTACAAAAGAGAATCCACAGGACGACATATTGAAAAACAGTGGAAGTTGCCTTTATTTCATTCAACAGAGAAACTGCTGCAACATCAGAGTAAACCACTGAGCAGAAACTAACATTCACACTGAGCCGCTGAAACAATGACTGGCAAAGTGGAGCAGTAAGGCTTAAGGACGCCTCAGACGCACGCACGCACACACACACACACACACACATACACACACTCCATACACAAACGCAGTCGCGCACACCGACACGTTTTCTCACACACGCTCCTCGTCATTTACATCAGCTATCTTACACCTCTATTGCTGCTCGGGCAGCAGCCTCATCACAATCCCTCTCCCTCTAATGTGGCCGGTCAGAGGTGAGGGCTCAGGTAACCTCTGCTCCCTGCTGTTGCCTTAAATGAAGGGCTATTTCAGGGCTAAGAGGCGACATAACCGTTCATCTCTATGGTACATCTCTAAGCAACTGGAGCCCCAGCAATAATACTGCGAGACCAGCAGTGGGCCTGAAAGGCGGGGCTGAAGGTGAGTTTGGGGGGAGATCATGCTCTGGCCAAAGGGAGGGCAAGGAGGAGTAGGGCACCGGCCGGGAAGATGATGTATTGGTCACTTGGTAGAGCGTCGGGTGGGCTCTGAGGCAGTGGGGGGAGGAGGAGGACCACGGCGGTCTAGATCTTCAATGTAGAACATGATGAGCTTCCTGCGCTCCTCGGGGACACACTCCAGAACGAGGTACCGCTTGTCGTTCTGAAGGATCTTCTCCACATCCTTCAGGTGCTGCTCAGACTCCTGGATCAGCTTTCTCGACCTGACGGGAAGACAGGATGTGAGACAGGCAGAAGGCACTCACAAGAAGTACGGTAATACTATGAACAGTATCCTCTCTTTAGATTTAAGTACCTGCTGTTCAGATTTGGTCTCTTAAATCTCTTCATTAGGTACAATTTTATATCGTAACAACAAAGTCACTGTGATTGATTGTGTCTCACTTTGACCAGTTTTATCAGCAGTGTACATTGATTACATGTGCAACAAAAAATACTTTGTAATATTTGTAACTGCTGTTAGACACTTCTATTGCCTTAGTGAGTGTACACACCTGTATGTGATGAACTTTGTCTCCTTCAGCAGGGTTCTGAAATCAGCTTTGGCTGTGATGTACTTGTCTTTGATGTAATCTTCAAACTCCCGTTGTCTCTTCTGCAAACACACAGATTAACACATCGGACACAAAACTCAGATGAAATGGAAGAAACCGTTAGCGCCTAATTCAACTCACCATGAACACCTTTAAGACAGACAACAAATGTTGATCAATTCATAACCGGTGTTTGGATTTTATGAACAAGAAGCCGGCTGATGAGCTCATAGTTTTCGTCTTTCTAGATTATTTCAGTTTGTCTTCTCTAACCAGGAAGAGTTCTTTGCTTCTTTATTTTTCATCATTCTACTTCCTGAATTCTTGCAACGTAACTACAGTGTGCCTCAACCCGTCACTAGAGTCACAAAACGCAAGCATAACAACATGTCTTACTCTGTCGCTGGAGGAGAACTTAATACAGCGAGGGTCCTCCTTGATAACCTTCTTCACCTCCTTCCACGTGGTTGTCAGAGTGATCTACAACACCAACAAACAAATCCATAAATAAGCTCATAAAACGAAACAGGGATAAAGTCGATCATATTAATTGATAAAGAACATAAATGGACATGCCATCAACTGCTGCAGAGTGTTTTGTTCCTTCTTGCCATGCTGGTTGTGTGTGTTGGTGATCATACAAGAAAAAAACAAATGGAGACAAAATTAAAAGCTTAGTACAGATGGCTGGAATCTTTTACTGCTTTTTGCACCTATTTACTTCTCACCATGCTGGTCTCATCGAGTAGCTGCCTGAAATGTTCTTTCTTCTTCTTGGCCAGTGCTTCTACGTGTTCGTTAAACAGCTTCTCCTTCTCCTCTCTCTCTAGCAGTGACGCCGACTCCCAGCGATGGTCTTTTCGAAGGTTACGACGAGTGTCTGACCATGTCGCGTCTGAAGACCGTACCTGAGGAATAAGTGGACAAAAAAACACCAGTCAGCCTTGTGCTCCCGCTGACATACTTGCATTTCTCAAATGTTCAAATTTTTTTATTTCTCCGTCAATCTGATCAAATTTGGGGGAGTAAAAAATGACCAGTGACGCAAAAAGATTAGGTTTTGATGAAAATTCAAATAATTCACTTATTTTATCACATTATGGGGAAATAAATACACTGCAGAGCGCCTCACCATATCAGACATGAGCGCTTTGAAATGCTGGATGGCCTCCTCCCTTTTGTGCTGCTCTCTCTCTCGGTCGATCTCTTTGGTCTGCTCTGATCGAGCCTTCTGCACCTCCCGCTCCCTCTCTCGGAGACTAACCTCGATACGAGCCTGCCGCTCCAGCTCTCGCTCCTTGTCGAGGTCCACGCTCTGCGGAGGAGGACACACGAGGTCGGCATCAGTTTCGTTTTGTCATGCGATGTCAACAATGACGACCACGTACGAAAACGGAGACGTGAACTCGTTTTTACTCAACGGGAATTGATTAGCTCCATGTGAATGAAACCCGTATATGTTGTTGTATAGTCCTGAAATAATACAACCTAGGTTCACAGCTGCTGTCATGCAGATCACATGTCTCTAGCACATTCCTATCAAAGCCATCATCCACCATGAGGAGAACTGCTCATACCTTGGCTTGTTTCTCCATGTACTGTTTGAAAAGTTCTTCTCTGAGTGCGGAGCTCTCCACAGCCTTGTATCGTGGGTCGGTCTCTAGCCTCTCCTTGACTTTGCTCCACCGATGGCCGACCTCGATGTGCTGCTCACTTAGGAGATCATAGAAGTCTAGCTTAACCTGGGAGCAAACGCACACATCAAAACCTGTCCAAAAGATTTACCATCTGCAGGACCTGCAAGGCCTCATCTCATGGTCAACTGACCTCTTTCACCTAAATACCACCACAGTCGTGGTCTGGAGAGATACCATGCATTGACATTATTATGTGAGGGGGTGATACCTTCTCTCCTCTGGACTTGGAGTCCTCTTTCTCTCTCTTCCTTATAGCGGTGATGAATTCCATGAAGATGGCCTCCCGGTCCTTCATCTTCTCTATGGTCTTAAATCGCGGGTCTCGTCCGTGCTTCACTGCAAATTCACTAAACGTTGTTCTGTAAAGATTTTTTGGGAAGGAAAAAGAAAAAAAACCTGCAGTTTTAACTTTGAAATAAACTCTTCACAAAACAAACATAATACGTTAAATACTAATACTATATTGTGAAATTAAATATTGTGAGTAAACTCCCAAAAGGAGAAGAGGATTGTAAAATAACTGTTCCATAAAATCATTTATTCGTTTCACTTGTGCTCTGAAATAAAACAGAAACGTCAGAAAACCTACTCTCGCAGAAGAATAATGTCATAATAAGAATAAAGTTTGTAATAAATATAGATACTCTCTTTTTAAACACAACAGCTGGCCTGTCTCTTTACCTTGGTGTGAACTTTGCCTCCTCCATCATCCTCCTGAACTCGTCTTTGGCCTGCATCAGCTTGTTCTTCTTCTCCTTCCTCTCCTCTTCTGCTCGTGTCTTCACATACTGATCGAACACCTGAAGACAATCACAAAACTGGGACTGAACCATGGGAATAAATGGCCAGTAGGTGGCACAAGACTGTGAGAATGAGTAACAGTGTGGGGAGGGAGAGGGAAACACATGAAAGAGAGAGAATCTGAACCTGTTTCCTCTCTTTTGGGTTGAGCAGAAGGTAACGTGGGTCAAACACAATCTTATGAAGCTCTTTGTCCCAAGTCGAGAATGCAGACACCTACATGTAAGATTGATAATGCATTAGAAAGACAGCCCAATATCAACTTGTACATAATAAAGATTTTAAAAAATGTTGTAAAAAAAACTTTTTTTTAATTCAAAAAAACAAACAAAAAAACAAAAACGTAAAACGTAACATTACTTTGTAAAATTTCAGATATTTGCATTACCCCTCTCTCCAGCAGCATTTCTCTGAACTGGGTCATCCGGGCCTCGAGCGGCACTATCGCTCGTTCTCTGGCAGCTCGGAGCTCGGCCTCCATTGCTGCTTCCTTCTCAGAGTCCGCCTCCTTCACCTCCTCCTTCCTGAGGGTGAAACGGCAAAGGTCAAGAGAGGTGGGGGGAGAACGAAGTAGAAAGAAAAAGGAAGGAAAATACAAGAGAAGGTTTCAGGAAGATTGACAATATATTTTTTAGAGACATAAACTATTCGATACAGCTGAGGACAGACAGGAAAGGGGAGAGCGAGAGGGGGGACAACATGCAGCAACGGGCTGCGGGTCGGATTAGAACCCGGGCCGCTGCTGTCGGGACACCAGCTCAGGACATGGAGCACCCGCTCTGACAGGTGAGGTACTGGGGCGCCCCGGCACTATAGCAATAATTAAAAGGAAATACACGACTTACTTCCTCTTTTTAGCTTTGGTTGGTTCCTCATCCTGATTTTCTTCAGTAACAACGGCTAATTCTGGCTCCTCTTTATTGACACCTGAACACAGACACACATTAAATTTATCATTAACGCCAATCAAACAATTGGGTTATATTTCACGATTATCATAAGTGCTGCGCTGAATGCCTTGGTCACTGACTGTGTGTGAAGGAGCGTTTGTCCACACCTGTCTTCTTGCCGTCCTCCAGGCCTCTCTTGTGCGGCGGCTCCTGGATGTGCTTGTCGACGTCCGCTCGACCAACCAGCTCCTCGGGCCGGTCCCACATGGACAGCCGTGTTGTGGGGTTGTAGAAGAACACGCGTTCATCACCCGTCCACACCACACACCTGATATTTAAAAAAATAAATAGAAAGGCATTAGGTTGATTTAAATAAAGTGGAGTAGAGTGATGGTGTGGGCTGGGGTGTGCGTACCATGGCGTGCCAGGGATTGGGTTGGTGGCTACTGGTCTTGCTTTCTGAGCTGCTTTTTCCTCCTCCGTCATCTCTTCTTCTTTAGGCTCCTTGAAGGTGAAAATCAGTTATCATTGCTATTGCATTCATACTATCAAACAATATCTTTACTATATTCTTTTTTATTTTGTGTGTGATGCATTTCAGAAGTGTGTCTTTCATTATATATAATTATAGTACATGTAGAATAGTAATGTGGTATAGATTATGAGCAGTGTAAAGCATTTCTTACACCAATGGCTGTGAAGGAGGTAATTTGTAAGTTACTAGTCTCAATCTACGACTAATAACTAATAATGTCAAATAAATGTAGTGAAATTAAAAGTATAATATTTCCCCCTGAGATGTAGTTGGGTATAAGTATAAAGTTACATAAAATAAAAATACTCAAGTACAGCACAAGTACCTGAAACTTGTCCTTAAGTACAGTACCTGAGTAGCCTAAATGTCCTTAGTTACGTTCTGCTAGAGCACAAAACTGTTCACAAGAGCACAAAGTTCTTCATAGCTCTAGCCTCTTAAACTTGCTCTCAAAGTGCACCAGGTTGATGCATAACATTGTAAAATGTGCAGCAACAATGCACCTTTTATTAAAAGATTTGAGTTGTTTTTTTGTACAATCAGGTAATTCAACCAGTCGCATACCTCTTTCACATTGTTAGTGTTTTCTGCTTTGTTTTCCTCCTCCATCTCCATCTCCATCGCCTCAGCTTCCTCCTGGGCCAGACGCTCCTTGAGCCGTTCTGCTTCTTTCTCTGAAGACAGCGTGGAGAAAAGGCAACGCACAAACAGTGAGGTAACTACAAGAAGTGTAGTGCAGCTCAACAAAGGCAGCTCCTCAATCATCAATTCTGCCAGGGCTTCATGTTCTGGAAGTGTAGCTGCTGCAAGTGACCCTGGTAAGTCTTAGGACAGATAATGTTGGATCGGAGGTAAAAGCTCGTCTTACAAATGTGGTGTTAATGAGAAGAAAAACAAAGTGGGTAAAGCTTTTAATAAAGGTGATACTGGAAACCAACCCAACCCAGCACCCATCATCCACCAAATCCATTTATGTTCCACTACAGGCCTTGCAGATCATCTCATCATGTTGGAGCTGGCAAAGATTTTGTGTGTGTGTGTGTGTGCGTGCATTGGTCAGCAGTGCCTACCTTTTTCCACCAGGGCCAGTGGTTTCTCCCAGGTGGACTCCAGTGTTCGGTTGTTGTAGTAGTACATCTTCCCATCAGCTGTTTTGTACTCTGACCACTCAGGGAGATGCAACGCGCCGGCCATGGAGGCGGAAGCTGCCGAGAGAGCCAGCTGTGGGTGCATCATGGAAACTAAAGGCGGGCCCATGCCGGGAAGCATGCCTGTCATTAGACAGAGAGGGAAAAGACAGACCGAGATTGGCGGAGGCTCGTCTTTCTATCTTTGCCAAGTGGACTATACTCTAGAAAAGGCATTTGTTTATACATTCATTTGTGAAATGTCATTTCCCAGGTGAGAAAGAGAGAATAAAACTTAAAAAGGGCTGTCCCTCTAAACCATATGCCGGGTCATCTCGAGGATTAGATTATTAGACGAGTGAATAAAAAAAGAATATAATATAATTTTGTGGAAGAAACGGCTCAAGTCTAAAGAACTCATTGACAACATTGGCCACATACACAAACAAACAAACAAAGCAGTGACCACACACACAACCATGCCACAAAGGAAGACAACACACAACCACAACATGTAGCCCGTACTGTTATAATCCTACTGAATCTCTACTTGGTTAAAGCAGCCAGCTAGCATTATGGGAACCAACAAAGGTTTTAACACATTTCCATTTCACCAAACACACACCTCAAAATGACTGATCCTAACAATCAACAGCTCAGCCACATCTCACTATGTCTCTCATTTACCAAGAGCCAAACAACTGGACAACGTGCATTCATCATTTAGTGAGAGCTGAATACTCTGTTTGCACCAAGGAATAGTTTTTAACTCCTGCTTGTTTTAAACAAGAGAGTACTGGAAATTAGAATTCAGTTAGTAAATATCTTCTTCGTAAAAGAATAATCACATTAAGCCTTAAAAACTATCACGCCGTGTGTTCCGTTTCTGTCTGTTGGAAATGGAAGAAGAGTCCACTGTACACCGGATGGATCATGTTCACAGCATTCACCACCATGACACTGTTAGAGGGTTCCCATATATACCATGTGAGTCATATAGACACCATTCACTACCATGCCTTCTACTGTAGATCTGAGATGCGAGCGGCTGGGTGTTTACCGTTGGGGCCGGCCTTTACACAGGGGGCACCTACTATCTGCATCATTGCTACACCTGCAAGAACAACGGACAAGCAAGCATCTGGGTGAACACAGCAGGACACTGGATATGAGCCGTCATGGTTTGGACTGTGCCTTATTGTTACGTCATTGTTATGACACTTATGAGCCCGTAACGCATTTAGACGTGTTGGGAATGAGCACAGTGTACATTAAGTTTACAAAATAGGATTAATTTGGAGGCTATTGCTACATTAACAATTACGATAAACATATATTTGTCAGCTTAATAACAATCAGCCCTAATCTAAAACTAGCCTCATCGGATTGTAAGCCTGACACTTCGTCCACAAAGAACACAATACACAGGGAGAATTAACAAGAATTCACTTCTTTCATCAAATGATGTCAAAATGAGAGAGAGAAAAAAAACAAAAAAACTAGGAACCAAAGAAGACAAAAAAACAGAGAAGAGAAAAAGAAAAAAACATGAAAGCAAACACACAAGTGCATTTACATTAATTCAAACCACTGCACTCAAGACTTGTTGATGTTCCTATAATCCTCCTTCCTGTGATAACAGTGAGCGTTGGAGTCCACTGACTACCTTCTGTTTTTTGTCATAATCAATGTGTACCCACATTGCCGAGTTTGTTTTTTCACAGACTGTAAACTGCATATCAGTTGTCACAAAACTACGCTAAGTAGCTCATTAGCATCAGAGTAATGGAGTAATCTTAACTGCTTAACTTACTAGCAAAAACACACTTTCTCCGCGGGGTGTCCCGGTAAAGTTTTTGTGGCCCTTACATAATAGATATCTGCTGATACCTAATCTGTTATTATATTTACATAGCAGCACCAGATCCATGTATTGACTAAATATGCATCTAACACATTGAAATAACAGGTGTAGCCTACGAAATGTGGCCCACCATAGCCTTCATGAGCAATTTAATCCAAATTGCAAAGGGCCTGGTTCAAAACTATTAAAATTAACAACTTCAATTATTGATCTGACATGGATGAATGTGTAACAGAGACACACAATCCGCGAGAGAGAAGACGTATCACTCTTAGCCCGGATCGGTCCCCTGACTCAGGACATCTCTAATTTCAACATGTCGGACTGAAAGTTCTTTCATGGAGCCTGACCAATAGATCTGCAAGATAGCTTATCGCAGTATTTTACCTGATTCCAATTATTTAAACAGCAGTTCCTCTTATTAGCAGTGATAGCAGCAGCTAGATATTGTTTCTAGCTCTTAGTCTGTAGTTCTTACCTGGCAGAGGGATGTGCATGCCCGGCAAGGGCACCCTGAAAGGAGGCACCATGACAGGGGGGAAGGAGGGCATGTTCACAGTGGGCTGGCCCACACCGTGAGGCAGGCCTGCAGGAAGCAGCGGCATGGTCTGCAGCGGCATGGTCTGCATCGGCATGGTCTGCAGCGGCATGGTCTGCAGCGGCATGGTCTGCAGCGACATGGTCTGCATCGGCATGGTCTGCAGCGGCATGGTCTGCAGCGGCATGGTCTGCACCGCCGTAACCGGGGAGGGCACCGTGGACACAGTTACCACAGTGACTGGAGATACAGCAACCGTTGAGGACACTGTGGCAACAGGGGACAGGTCGGCTGCAACAGTGGCTTTTGGATATAAAAACAAGTAAAGAAGATTTGTATTGTTGCTGTAGTGTGTGTGTGGACCATATTAGACTGTGACCGTACCTGCGATGGTCACAGAGGGGGAGGGGCTGGTGGAGTCTGGACTGGAGGCGAGTGTGCGGGAGGGAGCTGTGGACGGGGCCTGAGTAAAGGAGGCTGCGGATGTTGTGCTGGCTGTAGTGTTGACACTGCTCGAGCTGGCAGCTGCAGTCACCCCAGCACTTGGACCCGACCCCGCTACAAGAAGAGGGTTGAGTTCAGACTGCTGGATGATCTTCACACCATCCGGTTTACTCCACGATGACTCTCTGGTCCTGGCGTTGTAGTAATATGCCTTTAGAGGGGATAATGGACAACAAAACACTTATTAGGAAACTAAAAGTAACTAGAATATATTCATCATCCATCCCCGTAATCACACAACAAAATGTTTGTGTACATAGTGGCAACCAATTTTGTTGATTATATTGACATTCAAGCTAAAGTTATACCTTGCACATCTGCTTACTAAGCAAGATTTATCCCAAAATGACATAGTGGCAGCACAAGATCCAGTCCAATATTAAAGATAATAAGAAGAAGGGGATTTCCAAGTGAAATAAATGACAATGTATCATGAGACAGTGGCTACTTTAAGCAGTCTGCATTTCTAGTTTTCAAAACCTGCAAATGCAATCAAGTGATTAGCACCATTAACTCAGCCGTCTATCTAAAGTCTCATATCATCAAAATATTATCAACAACAACCCCCAGTAATACCAAGTATGTCTCTGTCTTAAGTGTTATATTCAAATATACTTTTGGAAAAACTTTAAAAGACTGTAAAAACATGAATCATTAATTAATTTTCCAGACAAGTATAGGGGCCCCACGACGTGCTTACATGTGATCTCGAGCTTACCTTTCCCTCGGGTGTCTTGTTCTCTACCCAGATCTCCTCTGTAGGGTTGAGTGCAGGGGCTCCAGATGCAGGAACGGGAGGCATCCCAGGAGGAAACAGCATTCCTGGAGGAGGAGGCAGGTTCCCCATGGGAGGGGGAAGGAACGGAGGTCTCTGCAGCAAAAAGATAAAGACCCAGTATTACATTTTCAGACTTTAAAAGGAGTAGGGCTAGGAATATACATTGACCAATTAGAGTCCTCCCTGGTGGCCAGATAGACAAGCATTCGACTATTTAGCCAGCAGCCGGCACTTAAAACCTCTGAAGTCAAATTAGGAGGTTCAAGTCATCAAATTGTATCATTCAAGACGGAATCGCACAGTGAAACATATTATTAATTGGTTTGAGTCATATTCCTCCTGGGTTCTGTCTTGTGTCTTGTTCTAGGAGCTAGTACTGCTGGTATTCATGCCAGAGAGCACTAAAGCTTTCTTTAATGTTAATTTCTTTGCAGACTCTGCCTGCCAAATGGCTTCACTAGGCATTGGACATATGACATTTTCATGTAACAATTACCCAGGCCAAAATAATTGCGAATCATGATATTGACCCAATAATCAGCAAAATATGCGTACAACTCGTCAAACAGCACTAAAACATACTGGAATCATGTTTTACCTTACATTTTGTAAATAAAAAAAGTATTGCATCACAGATAGGAAAGATATTTTCTTAGTGAACATTTCTTTTAGTGAACAACCCCCCGCATAAATAAAGGGTAAAAAATAGCAACATTGTGTTGTTTTCTTATGTTCTTTCCTATCACAATCCGCAATAATATCCTATATCGTCCTATTCCCAGACTAATTTGAGGCTTTGTATTTCTCTGTATTAATGGCGTGTGTAACATCACTGCAGGCAGAGTTAACAGTCTACACTTCTACAAAGAAAAGCATGCATGTGGGCAACAATTACCTGTAGATGGGGGGGTCCAATAGGTGGAGGCATGCCTCCTGGAGGTGGAATGGGCGGCATGTTGGGGTCAAAGGGTGGACGTGCAAATGGAGGTCGCGGCGGGGGTCCCCTCATCATCCCAAAAGGAGGTGGCGGCGGCCGCAGGAGTGGTGGTGGGCCTCGTAACACTGGGGTCTGGGCAGGCGCAGGTGCAGGCGCAGGGCCGCGGAACCGTACTGCCTGCTGCACCATTCTAGCACACAACACAATATCAAGTTACAACCAGTGTTGTATGTGTAGCATCAACAAAAAACATCTGATAGGAGCACTTTGATCAGTTCTAAACTTGTCATGCTGCAGGTAGATATAATGCTTTAAAGTATCCAACTACAGGTAAGGCTGAGCATCATAATTCATATTATGCCATGTCTATACATGTGGTTCTCAACCGTTTGCTACTTAAGGCTCATTTCTGATGGTTATAACATTACAGAAAACCACCTGCACAAATGAAAAAGAAACATGGTTTTGGTTTGCTATGGTTCTGCTGTTTGTACAGTAAATGAGCTGGAGAAACATGACGCGAGTGATGTTTATGGAGCCTTGAGGTGTAACGGAAGTATTGTTACTGTACGTTGTGTAGCTCGGAGGTGTTTATTATTCCACATGTTCGTTAAGGTGATATCCTGTTGGTCATGGTAACGTTACATACTGAGATCATAAAACAAATCAAACACTCAAGATAGTCTCGTTTACTACTAACTAGGCTGACGTTAACAGAAAGCCAGTCCATTCAAAACACTGAATGGACGGAGTTGTGTGCCCCTGCTTACTAATTAATGTAGCATAGCTTAGCTAGCTGGCTATTGTACATTAACATGTGAGCACAGAACGCACACGTAAGATAGGAGCCGTGTCCGAACACACATTTGGGTCCTGGTGAAGAAGGAAGCCTTGTGAAAGAGGAAAACATCTGGCTGCCTGTGTTTACCGCGTGCCACGAGCGGAGAGCAGAGACGAGACGCTTGGCAACACAGGCTAGTTAGCTAGAAGCTAGTTAGCTAGCATGGCTACATGCAGAAGTAAGACCACTGTTTATCACAACCTCTCGACCAAAGCCAATTCTACCCAACTCAGTATGCAATGTGGGCTTGTGGTTAATAGTACACTGAGCTCATATTCATATAGACACATTAGCCGCTATTATCTGACCTGTTGTCGTTGAACCCGATAGCCTCGCTGTCGGTCTGCTCCGCCATTACAGGAAAATGTAACCACTCTCTTCCTGGAAACGCCCCTAAGTGGTTTCTGCTTCTCGTATTCGCTGAGCTTGGCTGTCAATCATAGCGCAGACCGAGTTCTCTGAGCTCTGATTGGATGGTGGTTTTCTCACAGTGGTTTGGCCGAGCAATCACTGGGTCTCGTTCTTCATAATGTCTTTGTTTAGTCCAGACGCAGGGTGTTGTTGATATTTAATTGGACTCTTGATCACGACCACTCTCTGCATAGCCCATTAACTTCTCTCTCTGCGGTGCTGGGTATTTTGTATGCTGTGGGTATTTTATGAGTCCATTGTTGTGAACAGTGGTGGAAAAACAACAAAAGTCCTAGTGGTAGTCTACGACAGGGGAAAACCACTGCACTGTTTTGGGATGTCCTGTATTCAAAAAGGTACTTGCATGAAAGTCAAATCCATAACAAAATCTGCATGCTAAAACCTTAAAAACATACCAGAAGCAAAATATTAATATCCACTCATGAACAAAGTTGTCTGCCAAATTAATGTAATGTAATCTTTCTTGATTGGTTTGCAGTGGAATTGTGTGTGAGACAAATTCATGTAACATTCAGTGTGTAAAAGTGAGAAATCTTGTTTGAAACAAAACACGTTCTACTTGCTGCTGCTGTAAAGAAATCTAAAGGAAAAAAGTGTTTTTGCATGTCTGTGGGACACTGTGGGTTGACAGTAAAAATAAACATTTAATGCTTAATATTTGCTATAATTTATGAGTTATCAAAATAAATTCAGTGCATGGAGTATATGGAAGGTGCATTGAAGGATATAAACCAGCTCTCACACATCGGCTAGCTGGAATACTTCACTGAAGATGCCTTACCTTGGACGGTCAATCCAAACCCCGGAGTGGAGGCCCATTTGATGACATGGGGTAAAAAGTGGGTAGGATGGTAGCCCACTGTGTAGGGCATCATGGTGGGATATGGATACATGCTGGGGCCCTTCAAATGGGACTGAGCTGGAGGCACTGCCTGTGAGAGGGAAATGCCAGGGACTTTCTTCTTCTGGGGGCGGAACTCATAATCTGGTATGATATAACAAAGCAGAGAGTCAGAGGTTCACCATCCATACCAGAACAGATTAAAACTGAATACACATCCTACTGTATATCTGCACACAATACTTGACAGTAAACGTGCAGTAAATGTTCATTATCCTCTCATCAGTATTGTCCATACCGGGGAATTGCTGTCTATGCATGTGTTTCAGTTTGTGAGCCACTTCATAGTAGGGCCTCTTCTGCTCCTGACTGAGCTTGGACCACTCACAGCCCAGCACAATACTGGTGTCTATCATGTCGGCTCCAGGGCAGATTTTGCGAAGGGCGTGTTGGCGGTGGATATGAGACCACACAATAAAGGCATTTGGTGGCCGTTTAATGTATCCGTTCTTGTCTTGGCCGGACTGCTACTGCTTCAGATCTGAAGAGGACATTTGGGGAGACTGATTTGTTTGCTCACAGTTGTAGAAAACATTCAGAATTACACACAAGGTTTGTGTTACATTATTCATCACTTATTTAGACAAAGATTCCCGTAGTAATCTGTAAAACAACAAAAATGGTTTCCAGCTAAAATACATATGATAGACAAAACACCTAATGAAATGCTGATTCTTTTTTTTTCCACCTATCATTACTAAACATTTTAGGGCACAGATGATTGGTCTGTGATGATTTTGGAGTTCTGTATGTGAATTAAAGCTCACATAACAAATGCTGATTGCAAGAAATTTAAGATTACCGATTCAAGGAGACCGATTTCCACCGAACAAAAAAAACAGATGAAATATTAGAGATGACACAATAAATCTCAATAAAAACTTTTTTGACTTAATGTAACAATTATTTTATTTTAGTATCATGATTTGAACGTTAAAATATCACTTCACAATTGTAATTTGATTTAGTATCTCATAATTAGGATGTTTTGATTGATGTTATTCCAAACATTTCATCTTTATTTTCCTGGGTCTCCGTTCACATCCCAGCAGGACTAGCACACACAGGCCCGATGGCATACTGTACCTTCCTCCGGGCGGGATGGTAAAGCTGGTAACCGGACTGTCACCTCCGAGTGCGGGTGTGAGGTGGACTGCATCTGGGTTCAGGGGTTTTCCAGCTGCATCCCGTGGATCAGATTCCGCTGGACGTGACCGGAGATGGGTCCAAAACCTGCGCAGACCACATGGCCTCTGTTGGAACAAGTTCTGAATTTGAAGACGGGAGATTACCACCGACATCAACCTTTTCCAACAAACTAAAAACGGTCCCTGAGAGGCTGGATCCTGGCACGTGTCTCAGGTTTGCGGACCCGGTTCTTGTTTCTCTGGAGATCAATAAAGGCCTATCTTATCTTATTAATGTACATTTTATTTCCCCATGAAGATTGCCTAGTTTTATTATTCAAAGCCTTCTATGCACTATCCAAGAACACAACTCTGGAGGTAAATACATTTTGGAAATGTATTGCTTGGTTCAAAAGTTGTCAAAACTACATTTCATTAAGTTGAAAAAATACTGGAATCAACCCCGGAGCATGATGCAAAAAGCCTACAAGGAGATTTAATCTTTAATGTTATAATTTAATTTCAAATGAAGTACAGAAAATATAGAGTACAATCAAATGAAACAAGCTGTACCGAAAAAAAACAACAAAAAAAACATGGTTCCCTTTAACTAAATTGTTATTAGTAGCTCCCGTATGAACATAACCTTACAAGTAAACTAAGAAAAGTATTAAACTAATAACTATGGAATCATTCCTCAGAGTAACAAAATAAAGATTTGGTCATTTGGAGTGCAGTGCCTCAGAAAATGACAACAGGCTCTGCTTAGCTGTGTTTGCACATCAAACAGAGAACTATACCCATACACAAAGTCACACACACTCATTTACTCTTTTCACACACACACACACACACACACACACACACACACACACACACACACTTCACTTGAGACCCCCAACACCCGTTAGATTGATCTCAACCTTAGAAATCCTTTATTAAAACTCAGCTAACGAAAGAAAATGTCCTCCAATGTGTGTAATCCATGTGAGTATTTTCTAGTCCAGTTTGTGAGGTGCACCAAGAGACCACCAAGAGAGCTGCAGGCAGAAAAATGTTTGCTGGCAAATATTGTTTGTAATTAAAGGTACATTGCTGTGTTGACCCACACACATTGAGAGGGGAGCCACTGCCTTAAACACAGAAGAAGTATAGAGGATTGTAATGTTCAGTCTTGTAGATGGTGACCATCGTTGACCCTCTTTTCCCGAAGCCTGTTGGCAAAGACTGAAAAAAACAAAAACTTATTCTGTACCTCTATCCATAAACAGTGTCTGTATGAAAAAGTACAATAGATAGAAGAGATCTATGTGGGTCAGAAAGCAATGCTGAGATAAAGTCACGTGTCCCACATCATGTCTGAAGCAACATCAGGAGGAGCATCAAAAGAAACTATGAATGACTAGTATTCAAAATAAAATACTGACTGAACCCTTTATCAGGCATTAATCTGACAGAGGCATCCAAAATGGAAAGTAGAGGAAAATTGTAACTTTTAACTGACTAATTATTGTAATATAAAGAGCCCAACAGTAGTTTAGGGACATTTGTTCTGAGCAGTTCAAGGTTTCACTCATGTTGTCTTTTAAACATCAATAAAACTGTAGGTGTCCTACTTTACATTGACTTACTGAGAACTGCTTCGGGCCTGATAAAAAGAGGAGAGGGGAGGAAACGGATGTAATGTGCAATTCATCCACTGAAATATGTCTCAAGAATAAATTCCATGATGCAGCGTTATCTCAAGGCAGAGACCCATCCTGCCCTCTGCTGGAGGGCCAGAGTACGGATTCAGTATGCACCAGCAACATTATGTTACTGTTCTCTCTGGCAATAATGTAATGGCTTAAATTTTACGATTAAGTTTGGTTGAAATGATTCATTTTATTGCAATACCTCAGGCTAAAATGCTAAATGAAGGCAGCAATGCCATTTGTATTGGAGTTAATCCTACTGATTGATTCTCTGTACATTTACAGAGAAAAAAACCTTTTGCAGTGATTTTTTGTAATGGAGGAGGACATACTGCAGTTCATATATAAAAACAGCTAAAGAGGAGCTTTTCCACACAGGAAAGTAATGACTCGCGGCTGTGGGTTGACACCTTCCCTGCTCTTCAGGCGTCCTCCTGTGTGACATCATTCCACACATCAAATGGGTGAAGGGCAGCAGTGGGCACTAACCCCAACCTCCAACATCATGTCGACAGACTGGCATGGTGAAGGATCACTGGCGCCGGCTCAACCAAAGACAGCAGAAGCAGAGAGAGAAACATGCAAGGTTGTCTTCAAGTACAGCAGTCCTCTGGTTCACACTCTCAAAATGTCAGACATGCACACTCACACTCACACATTTGCACTCCTTCATTTCCCAAAGCTGCCAAAGTTAGCGAAGGCATCCTGTTTGGGTGGAACCACGGCTGGGGTGATGGAGTGTGCTAGGCCCACTCCCATGCCAGCCATAATCACTGGAGTGGCCATGCCCATATTCATGCTCATGTTCATTCCCACCATGCCTTGGTTTACAGGAATTCCCCCAATCCCCATGGTCCCGGTGGTCATTGAAGGGGGCATACTCGATGCCATTGATGCAGGCATTCCCATCGTCATTGCATTGCTTGCCATCATGGGATTGGCTGGTGGTCTGCTGGGTGTAACGTGGGGCGGGGAGCTGAGGTTCAGTCCTCCGAAGCTCTGGGTCAACAGGCTAACCGGAGGTAGTCCTGTGCAGACACATATGGAGAGGGAGGAGTTAATTCACTCTGTTTGTTCAGATAGTTACACTGACCAGTCTAAAATGTTAAAATGTTTACTAGATATAGAAAATGAATCACAGTATTGAACACAATACCTTGTTGCTGCATGATATTGTTGAGTGTGGGCGGTGTCTTCGTGGGGTTGAGGCCTGCTGATAGGAAGTCCAGACTAATGTTGACGGAGGGGTCAGACCAGGTTGACCCTAATGATCCTGGACCTCCAACACCAACCTTCTGCTGTTGTCCTATGGGCTGCTGAGATGTCATGCCTCCCAAGCTCTAAAATTAATTACAAATATTTTACACAAAGAATATAGTTTTTCCTGACATGTAGAAGAAAATAAACATACCGTTAAGAACACAAAATTAAAAACTGAAAGCAATTAACAGCCTCAAACTGGTTTCTAACTCTTAATATTTATTGAAATTGGAATAAAAAGCGTTCTTTAAGGGTGCACTGACATAAATCTTTCATTAGGTTTGCAGCATTGCTGAATGAACCTTTCACATTGTTCTTTTGATCCGGGTCTCTTTATTGCAGATTTTCACAATAAACAAACCCATTGCATCTCATCTAACCTCATGTACCTACTTAGCCTTCCCACCCACCAGACCTGCACCACCATTAAATACACACTGGAAGCGTCTGGGTTATTCTTTCAGTGGAATTCACTATCTTCAACATTTTTTTAGATTTTCATACAGTTTGAGACAAGCTAGTCCTCCCTGTGAAATATACCGTACCTACCTGCTGAGAGCGAGAAAGGGGCATGGTTGGCATTGATCCTGGCGTTGCACCTCCCAGAGAGAAAGTCATGCTCTGAGAGGCACTCAGTGTTGTATGTGGATTGGTTAGTTGATGGTTGACTCCGCCCATCAGGTCAAAGAGCTCGGTAGAAGGTGGGGCAGTATTAGAGGCCGGGGCTGCGGTGGACTGGACGCTGCCAAACAGGTCAGTGACGGGCTGGGAGGGACCAGAGCAAGACGAAACTGGTGTATTGGCCGAGAAAGTGCTCCAGTCCCCAAATTCTCCATTTCCATTGGGTGGTGCAGCAGCTGGCCACAAGAGAGTTGTGATATGTTTAGTTGTGATTGTAACATTCATCTTTTGACAAGAACTGCAAACAAAAAAAATCTAAATACATTTTAAAAGTATGTATTAAATGGCTTTTTTCACAGTGGACTTTCACTCTTAACACTGGTGGGTTTGCCCAGTTAGTGCAACCAGTGGAACCATGGGTCTTGGTCCAAACGGACTCTGGTACGGTGTGTTTGTGGTGTGAAAACAAAAAGACCAAACTCAGGAGAACTAAGATGAAACAATGTATAATTTTGCTACTTTGTCCGAACCAAATGAAACTGATTACAGGAGTGAAAGCACCTTCAGATTAACACAGAAAGAGCTGAGAGAGGCAAGAACAAGTTTACCAGCGGAGGTTGGGAGGCTGGCAGAGGCTGCAGGAGAGGAGAAGTCAGCAAAGCCACCAATGAGGTCTGAACTGCCACCTGGATGGAAGGACACACACACACACACACATGTATGTACACATGTAAGAGTGACACAACACCACCCACATTAAAAAAAAAATAAAAACACCTTCTTGGCCTCCATTTCTTCCATATCTTTGTTTGTGTAAAAGTTTGTAAGTACCTGTTGCAGTGCTCTGATTGGATAAAGGGTCAATCACTAGCAGGTTAGCTAGACCGCTACTGGAAGACTGCCTGACTGATGACTAAAGACAGAAATAAAAATACACAGTGATTAAATGTGTACTCTTTAAAATGTATCCCACATTTGGAAAAGTGTGAGTACCTTCTCCTCTGGGCTCTTGTCTCCAGTATAATGGGCTGCAGCACCGAGGTCCAAAGCCTTGCTGCTCGTTGCTCCGCTGCGTTTCCGCGTGGTGGTGGTGGTGGTTTCTGTTGCTTGTGTGATTTGGATGCTCTTTGTTGTGACAGTTTCCTCCTCATCTTTGAACTCGAGGGTTTCCTGCCTGCCGTTTCTCGACGCTCTGTCCTCCTCGTTGTCACTAGAAGAAGCAGCGTTTTGTTGCTTTGCAGTTATTGTACGTCTGTGTGTGTGTGTTTATGTGATGGATAACCCAAGACAGTAGAAAGTAATGTGTAGAACTGTGCAGGAGGACATGGTACGTTTACCTGATTCTGTCGGGCGAGTCGTCTCGTTCCTTCTTTCTGAACTTGTTGAGTGTGTCGTCGATGGTGCTGCCGATCTTGTCACTGATCTCTCCGAGCTTCTCGCTAAAGGGGAAAGCTCCTCTGCTCTTATCCCAGTCCTCATCCCACTTACTGCGATCCAACTCATTTGCTGGAAGGAAGAACAAAGAAAAGGACAGAGAGAGAGAAGACTTTTGAACATGAGCAGCTTCACAAGCATCCACCAAATCAAACTAGTCGTATCAAGCTCTTAATTCGCTGAACAATGTTGTGTAAAAATGCCGATCTATAACAAATATAAAACACTAAAACCAACAATAACATTAGAGCTGCCGCATTTTGATAATTTTTGATTAATTGTTTGGTCAATAAAATGACTCCTAACACACATCAACACATTGTAGAAGTTGGACCTGGAAAATGTTTTGCATTTTTGATTGATAAATCTTTTAAATGATCAATTTAAATAATATCCTCACACACCAACATCCAAAGTTAGGATGCTGTTCTGTGTTTCATATATTTGAAGACATTTTTTGGGCTCTTGTGATGTGTGCCATTTTTTTGACAAACCAATATTACAAATTCCTCGTTATTACGGGAAATTCAAGTTTGATTCAAAAAGTCTCACGCTTGCTTTACATGTTGTCCTTCCTCTAATTCATTTTAAGACCTCTGGGTTTGGATAGGGGACGTTATTATTAGCATTTGAATCCACATCTGACAGCTGTCAAAGGAGATGTAGTGAATTACTTACAGGTCTTAACGCTGCCGCCGCCGCCTCCTCCTCCTCCTCCTCCTCCTCCTCCTTCTCCATTTCCTCCTCCTCCACTTCCTCCTCCTCCTATACTGTCAGAGGAGACTCCAATGTATTTATCTTTGTTCTTTTTGGCTTTCTTCCTCTCCTCTCTCAGTCTGTCATCGTCCTGGATGAACTCGACCATCTCCTTCACCTTCTGACGCACATTGATGCCCTGATCCTTACCATTCTCATCTGAACACACACACACACACACACACACACACACACACACACACACACACAAAAGTAAAACAGGATGACTACTGGCCAGACTTTTTGACATTTGTTGTAGATAGTAACTTTGGTGACATTCTGACCTTTCATTTCGTGTCACCCACTGTGTAAAGGCATGGTGTCTTTACAATGAAATGTCAGATAATTCATGACATTTGCAGAGATATTAAATGTCCCGAGAGGATCAATCATAATGTATTTGGTTACTCTAGATCCATCACCAGGTCAAAATGTATTTTTGTATGCAACAATGACCAAAATCAAATGGAAGTTTCACCGTGCACACTGTATTCATTCTCCCCAGAGGATGAACACGTTCTATCTTGGACACTTTAGACGTAAAGAATAAGAAGAGAAAGAGCTAGCTAATTTCGATTTAAGAGACTCACCAATCAAGTTGTAGTTCTCTAGAGACCGCAGGTCGTAGATGTGTTCTCTGGCACTGGTGACGACTCTTTCAGACCCGTTCCTGATCAGATAGGCCAGCAGCAGTAAAGCCTGGAAGAGAGAGACAGTATGAGACGTAATAAGAGACCATGCAGGGGATGTAACCAGAACCACTCAGTGAGCAATAATCTTTACTCAACTGCCCCTACTCTTAAAACGCATCTTAATTATGCTCTAAAAAAATCTAAACAAATTCATTCTTCCTAGGCTCTTGCATAATTTATCATCTTTGCATATAAGGCTTATGAGTATGTGGGCAGGATTCAAGAATGTAGTTGATATGCACTGCTCTGATCTTTGCGCTTTACATATCCAGGATTCATACATACATTGCATACATACATAATTGTATGTAAAGTAAAAAGAAAGAAAACCAGAGAATCAGTAAACCTAAAAAGTGTTGATCCAGTCACTTGTGTAAACACTGGAACCCATGTGGGTGTCTGACTGCAGGAACAAAGACGCCCTGAGACTCAGCTTTCCTAAATCCTGATAAAACGGTACAGAACTGCGCTGCACGGTACAACACGACACATATACAACACAAGCACACACCACCTGGGAATCAACCGAATAACCACAGGGTAACCGTACCTTGTAGACTCGTCTCCAGTTTTTCTTGTTATCCTTCAGCATCCTGGTCCACAGCATGTTCATCACCTCTGGGAACTGCTCGTACATAAAGGTAGATCTACACACACAAACACACAGTAAAACATATTATTGTGCTTTAGGTAATCCAAGTGACCGGAGCCTCACTTGTCTTCTGAACAGAACTCTTTTTTTCTTCTAAATAAAACACTGTGTGTCTAATAATAACATGGTTTACCTGCTAGCTTACTGATAACTTGCATGTATTTGCATGCACATACTGAAACTGTGTGTGCGTGTGTTACACATACTTGGCTATTTCTCCCATTAGCTGACCGGAGGGTCCCCAGGGGTCGTCATTGGTGGCCTCTCTCACCTTGGACTCGATCTCCGAGTAGTTCATCACCACATTAGTGCTGTTGACACAAACATACATTTCCTTCATGGTTACTCCAACAGAATATCTGTATTACCATCAATATTTCAATTATATAAAAGGTGAAACCATGTGGCTTTGTTTTCTTGTCATTGTGTTCACTTATTGTGATCACAGAGCTTTTTATTATCAGTCGTTCGGTCCGTCTGCCTTGCTTGTTATCAGCAAATGTTCTGTGCCGATTCCCTTCACACTCCACTCGTCCCATTTCCAGAGGTCAGGCTGACCAAAATACAGACACAAAAAACACACACATTGACATATTTACACAGTAGAACACACACAAATTCAATGAGGGTGACTCTGAAATGACAAACAATCCCTCTGGCTAGCAGAGCGTCATTATCATGTCTAACTTCTACACAACAGATGTCTACCTGCTGCTACACATGGCAACAACGCACTCATGCAGCACAAACACACTAAAGCAATAACTGTGGAAAACAGGATTACCACAACGAACAGCTACATTCATGCAGGTGTCATAATACTCAGTGAAATCAAGTAAGACCAGGTGAATCTCAGCTCTCTGAATTATGAATGTCTTGACCACTGCACTTCAAAAGGACAGGCATGCAGACACACACACACAAGCATATTCACATGTTCAGGACACAAAGGGTGACACAAGGGTGAACACAGCCAAAACACCCCATCAGCAAGGTCTGCCTCCTGCACTCTTTGATTTTGTGTTCTCCTGTGTGCGTGTTGCATCTTTTGGTGGGCGTGGCTTGCGCTACAGACTCCTGGCAACAAAACCCAGCCAAAGCACTGCAAAGTGAAATGCATCTCTCTCTACCACGACCTAATCGACTACTACTTCATCCTGCCACTCCTTCTTAAACTGGCCTTTTCCAATTTCTGCTCCCCGCGTCTCCCGATCTCACGTTCCCATCATTACTCTTTCATTCCGCAGCACCTTTCCTCTCCGTCTCTTTCTCCTCTGAGCTCTGCCATCCTCCCAGCAAAAGAGAATCAGAGGCACCTTCAGTACAGGAGCTGCCCCTTTGACGGTGTTATTGTCAGCAGATAAGACTGACACAGACAGTGAGAGCACCATAATAGCGTGACTCTCAATCTGCAGGAAAAGCAAGGCCACTGCTGCCAGCTCTGTTAAGGTGGATCAATAATAGAGTGTATTCATCAGGCCCAGCCAGGCACATCCAACAGCTGATTGGTGTTTATTACTCCATCTGTGCTACCTTTGTACAGTGTTTTCACTCGTCTTATCTCCTTTCTTCAGTCTATTCACTCATCTTTCCTTTATGCAACTTTCTTCTGTCTAGTTACTCTTTCTTCCTTGTCACATTTGCGATATAATTGGTCCTTTAAAGAGCGGAGCCAACGGGAGACTGGAGAGAATGTAGGGTCTCAAACTGTTAGCAGACAGACAAACAGGGATGTAAATGTGGCAAATAAAGAGATGATATGGAATATAAATGACAGGATTTAGACAATATGTATGTAAGAGTTCATCAGCATCCCTAAAATGAAAAGATGCTTTTGGCATGCTGTACCCTCTATCTAACAGTAGCCTGCATTTAACCTTGTTTGCACGATTGTTACCAAAATGCAAGTACAGATTAATAACCCAAAGGGAGCTGAAACCTTCAAGTAATTATGCACCTAATATGAAAAAACATAGTACAAGATAAAGATAATTAAAAAAAGACAGCAACACTGTAACTTAATGGGATGATAGCTTGCTGGTATGTTTTGTGTTAGAAAATAAACTCCATGGCCAGTTTATTACACCTATAGAATAAACCACTGAAATGTTGATCGACATACAAACTCTTCAAACTAAATCTAAATGACATAATCCACAGCAGCTGTAGAAAAAACCCTAAAATGTTGATGAACTAAAAAGGGAACTAAAAAATGAAGAGCAACTGAAAAAACAGAAACGCTTTTGGTTGAATTTCTCTGGTGTGAGGATGTTTGCATGAAACAATGGGATGTACTGATCTGTAGCACTAGGAGTGGGCAATATGGCCAAAATCTTCCATCACCATATAGGTCATTTCATATCTCCATATCACGACAAAGCATGTTTACTGATAATTCAATAAATTAATCATCTAAATGAAATGAGCATGTGAATGACATACTGGACAAATGAAAAGCACTGAGTATTTTCTCATTTAATTAGGTACTTTACTGCAATCTGATAAGATTTTCTGCTAAATCTGAGTTAGTATGTGCTTATAATTTATTTACACTACGTAATTGTATATCACGATATATGATTTTGTCACGATAAGATTCCACCATTTTGAATTATATTATATATATTTGAATTTATATGTTGCACTATAATCGATATCAGTCCAAGACTGGCCAAGCTTGGACTTGCTTTGTCAAGCTACTTAAAAATTATTTTATTGTATCTACCATAGACCTAGTCCTCCGGATAGTGACACCATCCTCTTCACAAGTTGTTTACTTGGTTATTAAATAAAGGGACCCGTTACCAGTAACAGGTGTACTTATATACTATATACTGCACACTATACTTACAATAATAGATATCACAATGAAGCATGCGCAGTCCAGTGCTCAGATAAACAACACAACGTAGAAGGACACCAGCATTACACTACAACAGTATGGTCTGTTTAGCCGACCAGCTTTGTTGTCTTAGCTGGGCTTCGTTAAGACATGCTTGGTCGCTAATTGATTGGATATGTGCCATCCACAAACAATTATCTTGCCTCTTAGCCTTCCACCATCAGTGCTTAGCTCTCTACTCGGGATATAATGTCAGGTGGATGCACGGTGGAGGTAGCAGGCATCACCAGGCTGACACAGGGCGTGATTCTGCAGCAGCACCAACAGAAACAGTACACAGAGCCGAGATGGGCTCCTCAATGCTAGCGGAATTAGCTAACTGCATCGCGTTCGTTGTGGCTCGTAAAGAAATGAATCAACAGTGTGTGATATTGTCTCTTTTTCCCGCCCCCTGTATGGACAAGCGATTAAAAACGCACGATGGTAGAAGCCACCGTAAAGCACTCGTCTCTATTCATGCCACAAGGTTGAAGGTTGGAAGCTAGCCAGCTAGTCGGAGCTAACAGCTGAGGGGCTATCGCCGTGACGTCACGGCCCTGTATCCGTTGCTGATGCTGCCGAGCTAACGTTAGCATAGCAGCCACTCAGCTCCACCTGCTCCTCGGTACTCACGCTTTGTCCACCAGCTCTCGGACTTTCCACATATTCAGCATCTCCGTCCGGATACTGCGGGCTCGCCGCCTCGATGGTGCGTCGCCCCCGTGTCTCAAGGCCCCCCCACAAGACAGACGAGGTGTCCGGTTATCCGACGACAAAATCCCCGTTACTCCTCTATTAGCTTCCCGTAGTAACAGCGGCCGCTGCGGTTCACGGATCGACCCCCAGTTGCTACGGAAACGTCGTTCTCCGTCTACGTCACGGGAGCGTCGCGATGTTCACTCACAGCAAATTGACACAATGAACGTGCCTTGCTCAAGGACGCTTCCGTACGGGGGATATTTGGGGCCAACGTCTTCTTACGAGCAGAGTTTATCTTCATGATGCTCTAAAATCTGATTTATTTATATTCTATATATTATATTTCTAAGTTTTCACACCTCTGACAAAAAAATGACACGTTTCACGTCACTGTGTCTAAAATATTGTTATCTTCCTTTTAAAACCAATAATGTTTAATTTTAGAATTATACAATGTAAAAGTATTGTTCCCTCAATAATATAGAGCTGCCTCTGGGCTGTTAAATACATTTTAAGTCATATTTGACTAACAACTGCTGATTATCCCAAATTGGTTGATCATATTATTCACATAAGATAAATTATTTTAGCTGTGTCAGTATATGAAATAAAAAGGGTGTAAGTTGAACGAGTATAGGCGAAAATTAATACGGAGAGAAAAGAGAAGAAATATATTTCATACAGTAGGGAAATACCGCCCTCTAGTGACATAAATTAAGTACTGCATCATAGTGTGCTTACAGATCTTGCAGTAGTTTGACTTTTCAGTGGAAGGATGGGCTTAAAGATAAAAGTATAGGCTATTTTATTCAGATCTCGAGTAAAGATTAAATATTTCATAGAATTTGTATTATTTATTCAAAGTAACGGTTGTTATGAATCTCTATTTATTTGAATGAAATGATCACACTGGAAAACATCTGCTCAGGCTGCACAGCTTACATTACATGTGGATCTATAAATACATATATATGTATTTATGCATACACAATTACGCTGGTTGCACAGTGGCCATGTACAATATCTAGATCCTTTCAGGGATTATTGGGGCTTTGAACTGTGATGAATTGTGAAGTGATGGATTTAAATTCATCCTGATGCTCTAAGTAGATTTGTGCACGTTCAGATCAGATTATTTGGTTCAAATGCTGCAAATCTGCTCAAGAGTGATGGCAGTTCATGTCATATCACCACACCCTCAATAATTGTTTCCAGTAAAATAGATGTCTGTTTTGGTTTCTAATTGAATAATTGCTTTTTTTAATGCTCATAAAAAGTATACTCAGCATTTACATGTAGCCAACGCGTCCACATTAATATAACCCTCCAATATAATACATATGATAAAAAAATGGGCCATTCTGCATCACAAATACTTTCTATTTTGGTACTTTAAGTATGATACTGATACCTACTTTTACTGAAGTAACAGAGTATTTCTACACTTTGGTACACTTTTACTGAAGTTAACAATCTAAATACTTCCTCCACCACTGTTTGGGGCTGTCTGTTACAAAAAAAATACAAAATATCTGTTTAATTTAAAACTGGACAGTACAAAACATACTTAACGAATGCATTGCTCGTGATGATTTAATGCATGAATTAATGTAAGATGTATATTGAATTCCTGTTGCTCACCATCAAAACACCCATGAAAAACAGGAATCCAAAATAATCTTACAATCATGTATGAAAATGTATTTAAATAATCCGGGGGCAACAGGGGGCAATTGTAACACACTCAATTCCTCCAATCAGAAACAGGCTAGAGTGATGAAACTTACTCGGTATGATCAGTAGGATCCTGTGGAAAAGGAGGAGAATCATTTCAGCTCGGCAGAAGTTTTCCACAAAAAATGTATTTAAGGTATGAAAGTTAGTTTTAGGATGTGCAGTATTTTCTTTTGCTGTCTAAAGTTTAGATGAATGCACATTTAAACTTACATTTTATCTAGGTTACAAATCAACATGATCAACCAATGGTAGTGTAGGTGTTGCTATCTAGAATACAATATTTTACCATGGCTGCATGATGAGCCATATGGCCCATTGTAAGCACCTTGTTTGTCTGTGTTGACATACTTGTCTGTTAGAAAATGAACATATTTCACAAAATGTAAATGTATAATTGCATTTAAAAAGGGTGTTTTAAAACTACATTTTTATTATGACTTATTTTTTCAGTATTACAATTGCCCCCAACCAATGTTACAAATGCCCCCTTTGAATTCTTGCATTAAATTTAATATAATTATTGTCCTTATTAGTGAAAATATACCATTTATATTGTTAATTAGTGCACATAAATACGTTTACATCATAAGATGACAAGATGAACACAGGCCTTACTGTCAAAGAAAAGCAGGACAAACCTAAAAAGTGCAACCCTTAATGTTATATAATATTCTAATAATCACTGATGACCTGGACAATGAGAAGGAAGACATGTCACGTTATTTACAGCGGATGAGTTTGGTGACGGCTAGCTTCACACAATAGTTACGTTGATGTGTGGGAGGCCACACTGGAAGTGACTACACGTGCAGCTGTTTGCTTCCCTTTTCTTCCTCTATCAACAATAAACGAAAAACAATACAATCAATATTGACTAATCTGTTAAATCTCTGTGTAACAAGAAAGGATCAATCATTGTGTTAAGAGGAAGAATCCTGCTTCTCTATTACATGGAAAAGGTGATAAACGTGACCCACGTCTGGCTCCAGAGTTTCAATGAAAGTGTGTGTGTGTGTGTGTGTGTGCACGGCTGACGGTTATATACACATTATTGTGTGAAAAGTAACAAGTAACATGTAAGCAGACACCTGCATCACTGAAGGTTGGCAACGATGGACAACGGAAGACGTAATAACCACATCTTGCTTATTCATTCTGCCATTAAGCAGCCGACTCACCTAAACAACGTAAAGTTTGAGAGTCAAATGGCCATTATTACAGAATTCAAAGTTACGTTTCTAAAAGTTACTTGTGGTATCTTAGTTTGCTGTAAATGTAAATGAATGTTAGGAGAGTTTTCTTCTTCAGCATCTCATCAGTTAATGCTGCCAGCCTGAGTGTGTCCTTGGCTCATCCTCTGAGTGAACTTGTATTATTGATATGTTGGCTCTGTTATTTAGGTCCCCAGTCTGGTCTAGAATAAAGCAGAATAACGGAACAGGATAAAGACATGTGTCAGAGTGATGGTCGTCTCCAGGAAAACGTCACCTTCTGCATCTTTGTTTGATTGTTTCTTTCATTCTTTCTTTGTGGGAGTTGTCCTTGATCTTATTGAAGGTTTGGAGATGTTTTTCACTTTCTATTCTATTGAAACTGTAATTTAGGCATTGGTTATGACTAATTTTATTAAATTGTCTAGGTTCTGGGTTTGAATCTATTTAAATTGAATAGTTTTTAACAAATGTAATGGCAAGAAAACTATCTTACATATTGTATTGCCTCAAAACTGTGTTCACCATATTTAAGTGTTTATTTTTCATTGAGGGTTTGTAATTTAGTTATACTGTTAAAACTGTTTTGCTTTTAAATAAAAAGTGATAAAAAACCTTTTATGTGAACACAGTGAGGGTAAAGATGGAATAACTCATATGTCCGTCTGAGAAAGTTATCTCCTCCGTCATATTTAAACATCTTGAAGTCTTGTATTTGTACTCAGTGGGCTGAATACGTGTGTTTTTGTGGAAACTCTCCCACTGCATCGGCAGGTTACAAAAAAATCCTCACAAACCATTTCAACGTTCATTTTCTTTCTTTGTTTTATGACGAGCACCCTCTGTCTCTGGTTTGACTCATTCTAGAGTGATAACAAGGTTGCCATGGTGGTCCTCCTGCAGCAGAGCAACAACCTCAGCACCGGGCTCAGCTCCGTGTCGGATCCCGGTGCCGCCGCGCTGGGCCGGGCGGGTCACACCGCGGCGGCCGTAGTCCTGGGACTCATCCTGGTCCTGGGCTTCCTCGGTAACTTCCTCGTGCTCATGGTGTTCTCGCGCTTCCCCGGGCTGGTGACTCCGGTGAACGTGCTGCTGATCAACATCAGCGCCAGCGACATGCTCGTCTGCATCTTCGGGACCCCCCTCAGCTTCGCGGCCAGCGTGCGCGGCAGGTGGCTGACCGGGTCCTACGGGTGCCGGTGGTACGGTTTCTCAAACGCGTTTTTCGGTGAGTTATTGAGGATATTTGAAACTCCGCGATGAAGTTGAAAAAAAATTGAATGTGGCTTCAAAATACCAAAAGTAAAAGTAGCCTATACTCATTATGCAAAATAGCCCTATTATACTTATTGATGCATTATATACAATGCAGCTATTTGCAGCACCTTAATGTTGTAGCTGGTAAAGGTGGAGCTCATTTTTAATATTTTATATACTGCAGGACCAGGATTGCTTGTGAATTTACTCAATGAGGTCTTATTTTAATCTATAGCCCAACAATACATAATAATGTATTTGTTGATTATATTTTGTATTTGTAAAATATTTGTATATAAAATGTAGTAGAGAAGAAGTAGACCTCTAAAGTATCAGAAAATGGAAATACTCAAGTAGTATAGTATAGTATAGCTCAAAATTGTACCTAAGTAAAGTACTTAAGTAAATGTACAGTTACTTTAAAATAAAGACACTTAGTAGTAGTAAGAAAAACATCTGAATTTTTCATTTTTTAAATATATGAATTTTCTGGAAAAATAGTCTGCATATGAATTGTATATGAAATGTCAACAAGAAAATACAGAGTTCTTATCATTCTGTAAAAATAGACATATGGGTAATATTACTAGATTTTATTATACTAATAATGACTAGCTTGTTAGCAACATTTAATTACAGATAACCAAATACTTTAGGTAGTTTAATCTATAACAATGCATCCAATTTTATAGGTTGATCATGTGTTTTGGATGTCAAATTGTAATCTGCAAAGTAAATGTAGTAGAGTAAAAGTACAGTTGGTCATTAATCAGGCTCAGTTTGATATCTGTTGTCCTATACTGAATAATGTGTCTCTCTCTCTGTCAGGTATAGTATCTCTGGTGTCTCTCTCGCTGCTGTCCTTGGAGCGGTACTCTGCGGTGCTAGGCAGAACCCACTTGGACTCGGACCCCTCTCAGTACCGCCGGGCCAAGCTCGCTGTAGCGGCCTCCTGGCTCTACTCGCTGGTCTGGACTCTGCCACCGCTGCTGGGCTGGAGCAGGTCCGTACTGCCCCAATATTAACCCATCATTTCACTCATTACTACATCAATCATCCTCTTATTCAGGCTGATGATGCTAAAACTATGAGGAACTTCCTGGTTTGGTTGCTTGAATAAAAAGTGAATAATGAATTTAGTGCCTTAAAGGAAAATAACTTGAGAGAGCCACAAGTTTTGGTCATCTGCAAATGTTCTGCCTAACTTCACAATGTGACTTTACTGAGTTAATATGTTATTTGTTGTACGGGTCAAATGATAATCAGTTATGTCCTTAAACAATGAGAAAGTAAAATGTTTATTTGAAGAATCTTATCTCAAGCCTGTCTCAAACGAAACAAATTTGCTTTGACAACCAAGCACCTGGATAATATTATAGTGCAGAGGATTTTAGACTTTGAAAAAATAGCATGTTGGGGAGGTGTCTGCCTTCCTTTCCCAAGCCCCATCTAACACATAAAAGTATTAACATGAACAAAAGAATGAAATAAAATAAGTCCATTCCATTTTTTTGTTCCTAACAGAGAGATAATAAACATATCCTAACACAGAAATCAATAATGTCAAAGAGGAAGCACATGAAATCAGAGCATATGTTGTGTGTTATGGAGCAGCTACGGACCGGAGGGTCCCGGCACCATCTGCTCCGTTCAGTGGCACCAGCGCTCGTCCGCAGCTCGCTCCTACATCAGCTGTTTGTTCATCTTCTGCCTGCTGCTGCCGCTGCTGCTCATGTTCTTCTGCTACGGGAGGATCCTGCTGGCTGTGCGAGCGGTGGCAAGACAGGTGAGCCCGCAGAGTGACCTTTGACCCCTCTATGATACCAGGTCCACCGGTGTTTGTGTAAGTGTTTTTTGTCCGTCCAGGTCACCAGGATCAATCGGTCGTCAGCTGAGCGGAGGGAAGGCCGTGTCCTTCTAATGGTGGTCTCAATGGTGACAGGCTACCTATTGTGCTGGATGCCATACGGTGTTGTGGCGATGCTCGCCTCCTTTGGACAGCCCGGCGTGGTGCCGCCTGCTGCCAGTTTAATCCCGTCCCTGCTGGCAAAGACCAGCACCGTCCTCAACCCTGTTATTTATGTGCTGCTCAACAACCAGGTACCAACAATTCCCTGTAAATATCTGACGCAAAGTCATCTGTCGTGCTCTAAATTACATTTGAATAAACTCCAAACAAAACAAAGAGGTGCAAAACATTTGTTAGGCATCACCAATTAAAAGATATATTCACACAATAAACATTTTTTTTACTTTATGATAAATCATAAAATTCTGTTGCACCAAAGCTGGTTAGCTAAACCATAGTGTATTATTTTGCAACACAGGAAAATCTATATTTAAATTAGTTTTTACAAGTTTAAATCCAATATAAATAAACACCAACACACCAGAGTCTGAGTATTCCAGCGCTTTATTGCTGATTGTTTTGTGAAAAATACTTTGCATCCATCAACATTTAATTTTTTATTTGAATGAACTGTAAACACTACATTTGTTTTAATTTAAACCAATCAGCAGCAAGGGACAAATGTGTCCTTCCAGCATCATTTTCAGTCACTGAAAGCTGCTGCAGTATCTTTCATGATGACCAAAAAAAGGTATCATTGGTGTTGCTAGGCAGCTCTTATTCTGCTCACAAAGCTCTGATAGGTTGATAGTTTCTCCAAACCCTCTGGAATCAGACATCACTGGGCACAACGCCAGACCTATTTGCATTGCTCAGGATGTGGGCAGAGATTCAGAGGTCTGAAACCAGGCTAGAATTAATTAATTTGCCTACTTGGCAATCCAGCCTTGGTTTATATATTCCTTTCACATTGTATCCCTGCCTTAGCCGGCACATTTCACCAATAACTAACATCCTCTATGATTACATGCCACCTCACGTAGCTGAGGAGGAAACATTTCCCACCTTCTTGCTCGGACATCTGAATGTAACTTCTGATTCTGCATCATATTCCTTTTGCTGCCTCGACCTCCTCTGTTTGTGTGTGTGTCTCTCAGCTCTCCAGGTGTCTCCTGTACATGATCAGGTGCAGCTCAGAAGCCCCTCCCACCAGAGTTCACCATACACTGCCCAGCAGAAGGGGTGTGTGGCGTCACGCCCCCCACCCACCAACGGAAGAGCAAAACACAGTGCATGCCATGTTCACATCCAGAGACCAGCAGGTACAGCAGCCTGCTCTGTTGCAAGTGGCTCAATATGCAACATAGAAGTCAACGGTCACTTTATCTCAATGAAAAAATACATCATATCACTTTTGTTTTTCCAATGTATTTGAACTATTTAAAAGAAAATGTTAGAAAGATGCTGCAGGAGTTATTTTAGTTCTAGAAATATGTGTTTGACCTGTTCTGTTGATACATTTAGCGGACCATGTAGCTCCATTTTGAATATTTGGAACTGTTTATCACAGCAACAGTCAGATGTATGTTGACCCTCAATGACAGAGCAAAGCTGCACTGACTTACCTCTGTCCATTGTTGAATTTTGCATCAGATAGAGCTCATTTTGTGGTCTATTACAGTTTAAACTATCATTAGATTTTAAATATTTTTATGTATCACTAAGCAGCCCACTATATCTCACAAAAAATGTGTCACATTAAAGTCAAAACAAGTTTGACTACATGGCACTTTGGACATTATTTCTACTGAACCATAAAAACTGAAGTGTGACTGTTTATGTCAAAAAACGTGTTTGCATCTTTGCACCCTTAGAGGGCGGTGAGGCTCAGCTGTCTGTCAAATATGCACACACAGCAGTATGACTGAGTGAGGCGGGTAACTGAATAATTAGAGAACATAATACATAGACCACATTAGATATATAAAGAGACATTTAGACTATTTTTATTCATGATCAACAATATACAACAATAAAAAACCCTCAATTCAGAATAAACAACTTTAGATTCCTGAATGAATGGTCAACACCAAAATAATTTATTAAGAAAATAAAAATACATCTTCAAAAATATACAGTCATTATGCTTCACAAACCCTGACTGAAATCTCAGTACGTCAAAGATTAGTCTAAAGTCACAGTCACATTTGTGCTGAATCATAGAACTTTACAGACATGTAGAAATAGCGTCAGGTACGAGAGGAGAGGAAGCATCATAGTGCAGTGTAATACTGTCGGTTCACCTTGGGAGGAAATGTTGGAGAAACCTTCTGGAGCAGGTAGTCCACACAAGATATAAAACTCAAACCACTTGATGAGTCTCTCTACCGTGTTCAGACACCAACACCGCACATTAGTCTTACAAACGATCCAAAAATACACATGGGACACTTTAAAAAATTTCCTGTGAGGTGTAATTACTGCTGAACTGGAAGTCTGTCTTTAAGGTGCATCATTATCGTGGAGCACCGAAGCTGAAATTTCCTTTTTCGTTTAACTGGGGTGTGGAGTCTCTGCTGATTTCAAATTCTGTGGAAAGAAAAGACACAATGTTCTAGTATGACTGGAATTATCAAAGCTAAAAGAGAAAACGAAGAGGAATTAAGTCAAAACTGCATCCTCCAACTGTGGTGCTTTGATAAATCTTCTAAAAGTTAAAAGGTGCAATATATGGGATTCAGAGCATTAATATAGCAGCAAACAACAATTGTCTGTGTAAAGATATAATGGAGTAATGGCTAACCTGAGCAGAGAATGAAGTTGCTTGTTCTGTGTGATGTAACCCAAGCTATCCTTGCTTTGTTGACATGGCCTGGCCGGCCACGCGTGCTTTTAGTGCGTGATCATGCATGTGATTGTCGCCTACTGGCTAGCTCACTGCGGATGTTCTGCACCGCTCTCATACGGCGGTTTCAGCTGATAACGCTGCTCCTGACCGACGGCGGCGGCGCAGAAGCGTAGCGCCCACCCATCGGTTAACCCTCAGGTAAACACTGTGTGCTCTGTCAGCATCTTTGCTGTAGTTTGCCCTGTTAGCGCTGTTAGCACTGTTAGCTGCAAGCAGCCGGCTCAGCCGTGTCCTTGTTGAAAGCCGTTGAGAGGCGATCGAAATGCTTCCAATCCCGTATAATACTGTAGCACCTTTAAGGTATCTGCATGACTGGAGGCCACTAGGGGTGAGTGGGAAGTTGTTGGGGAGTTGTTGTTATTTGGGGTAGGGATTAAAGCTATGGTCTACTGTTGGTTATTAAGGGGTTACGGACTACATTGTGATTGGTCAGCATGGGCTGCTTGTGATTCCTGTGGACATTGTTAAGAGTAAAGACAATATTGTGGAAGTTGAAGAAAAGCTCAGTCTTCTTTCTTTTCAGTACCGCACATATTTGGCAATCTTGTCAATGTTAATGTATCTTTAGGGGCAACCAGTTTCAGTTATTCTTGATTTTATGCACTCTGAAGTTTCATATTATATTATAATTTCATATTTAGAGGGACTGTGGCTTGTTACGAGTGTCGTCATTTTCTGAGGGGTCAACTTGCAAAACATTTGTCACTGTAAACTCTGGTGAACATAATCCTCTGGCAACAGGAAAAAATATTTTTGGGTGCGTGGGTACAAAAACTCCAGGTGAAAATCATTTAATCAATAATAATTATTAAATAAAACGATTTAGTTTATTAATTTTTAAGTAATTTATCAAGATAAAATAGCTTACATTTGTGATGAACTTTTATCACAAGTCGGATTAAACAATTTATCATTTAATTTAAAAAAAAATTAAAATCTGGGTATTTTTCTGTGAACATTTTGTAAAAAAAATAAAAGAAGTGATTCTGTTCTTCCTCAGATCAGTTTTTTAACCTCACCTGTGAGTCGTTGAACAAAGACACCACGGTCTCCCCTCTCGTGTAGTCGGGCGGGTTGGCGTTGGGGTCGTAGCCCAGGCGAGCCAGCATGGGGGCGATTTCAGCCATGTCGCTTATCACGTCAGAGGGAATGTGACCGACCCACTTGGAGAGGGCGTCTGTGTTCACCGGCTTCATCACCTGGTCTGTGGAGCGTTCAACCCTGCACACAAACACACGTTTAGTTCATGTGTTTGTTGATATGGAGGAGAAAAACTAATTCTGTTCCTTGTAATTAGCCACTGAAGAGTCTATGAAAATGAAGACAAATCAAACATTTTAACTCAAATCTAATACACATTGTTATACTGCTGTATTCGATTGTTATATATGTATTTACTGTCTATGAAACGCATGTTATGAAAATCAGTTAAAAAATTTAAGAAATTCATTTTTGAATGAATGAATTCTTTGTTTGATCTACTTTGATTTAGGCATTTTAAATCTTCCATACATATCAACGTTTCCACTCTAAATAAGTAAATGTGTATGCATGAGTCAAAACATGCCACATTTTATGAGAATTTACATTTCTGAGGAGGTTACAAAACATTTGTGTGACTAATATTGCACCAACCGTTGCATAACTAATCAAAATAAGGGTGCTAATTCTCTCCGAATGTGGTGAAAATACACGCCAGGTTTGGGTTTTTGCGGTTTGAAGCAGCCAAATTCCCCCCAAATCCCCTGAGCTTCTGCCCTGCGAAGAGATGCTCTATTTGAATCACGACAAATAAGTGGAGCGACAAAAACTTAACTCTGCTGATTGAAAGCTTTACTTGACTTTGAAATGTTTGGCTGCTAAAGATGAAAACTCTGGCTGAACTCGGGCGTCCTGGTAGATCAGTGGATTCAAATATATGACGCGTGTGTTCAAATCTGCCTCTCGCTTTGTGCTGCATTTCAATTCAGTGGAGAAAAAAAAACACATAATATCCTTAAATATTTAAAAAAAATGAAATATATCGATATGAAATTAAGGGATTTAGTGTTTTCCAATACAAGGATATATGTGGCATAGCAGAGATGGATTTGATGCAGCGTTTAGAGACCGTATTTTTGTTCTCAAAATTCATTTACATTTTTTTTTTAAAGTTTGTCTAAAAATTCTCAGATGGGCAGCACTGGGGTTGATTTAGGAATTTTAAATTCCTGGCTACGCCCCTGTTTAAATGTTTTTTTTATGGATAGCAAGCAAATTATACATGATATAAAGTCACATGAAGGTACAACATAGACAGAGAAATCCAATTCTCAAGAGACTAGTGGTGAAACATTTAGTCCATTAATCAATTAGTGAAACCAAAAAAATGATCATCAACAATTCTGATGATCAATTAATCAATGAAAAGGCTTCTCGGTCTAGTCATCTTAGTGTACTATGACCGTCTCTCGGGTTTCAGATTGTTGGTTGGACAAAACAAGCCATTGATCTTGAAGAATATTTTACCATCTTCTTACATGAAGACAGATCGACACTAAAAACAATCGTTTGTTGCAGCTTTAGAAGAGACAGACAACAGTTTCCTCAAAGACAAGCAGGTGTTTTGAGTATTTAGTTGTCAATAACTGAATTAACGTTAAAGCCTGTAGTCTTAAAACACGTCCAAAACATTTTGACACTGGTCTGCAGTGTGAACGTTGTCAACTCTGGAAATTGTTCCTGTCAAACGTCATTCTTGGAAACGTAGGAAGACACAAACTGAAGTAGAGGGAAATACATCACAGAATAACAATGCAGTTGTCCCGTGACTCCCCTCACCCGAGAGGGGACAGGGCGAGTAAAAATAGATTTTCCTCTTGATCGATCGATACAGTTTTAAATTACCTGTGTCGCATCTCTTTCATCCTCATCCTGTCACATAACAAAAGACGATTGGCAAGAAGATAATAAAGACATTAAGAAAGTACTGGCCAAAATATAATTCAATGGAAGGTGTTTAATCTTAATCTTTATATTCAAAGGAATACATCACTAAAAGTAGATGTCTTGAGAACTTATAAATTATGTTATATAAGATTTTGTCATTAACAAGCAGCATGGGTGTAAGCAAAAGCTGAGCAGCAGCTCAGGAACGTGTTGAGTTGAGTGATAGACTGAGAGCGAAGAGTCACATGTGACCATTTAGCCGCCTGTAAGAAATGACACCTGCACTCCTGAAATACACCTCAAAGCCAGTAAGGTGGGAATTCACAGGAGGAATAATAAAGCCGAACAAAACACACACACAGATGAAGATCTGTGTACATGCAACACGTACATTGACTTCAACATACATTTGAAAATATGTAAAACCTCAGCACATGCAACGGAAACCATCTGCATCGTCAGATATACCACGAGTGATGACTTGGTACACACACACACACGTTTCACACACACTTACTTGGACAGAGACACGCCACCAGCCTTTCCAATCAGCTCTTCGTGGTGCAACACTGACGGGTCCCACTGCAGCTCCAGGAAGTGAAGCAACTTCCTCATTTCCTCCTCTGTGTGGAGGACGAGCTGCTCGTAGCGGACGGGCAGACATCTGGACTCCCCGGCGGCCTGGCACTGGCTGAACATGGTCTCCACCGCGCTGCTCCACTTGGTCAGACAGTCCCTGTAGCTGGTCAGGTCAAAGCCAGAGATGGTCACCTGTGAATGGAGGCAGAGCGGTAAGATAAAGGCAGGAGGCCTTTCACGACGGAGAGCGAAAACACAGAATGGAAAATGTCTCAATGTGGCAACAATAGAAGCTTGTCAAGAGGCAGTTTGTCTGCCCGCATCCCCGATGAGAGAAAGAAACCCAGCGTACCTTGCGTGATATCATGGAGTGGACGGTTGCCCGTCCGTCTCGTAGCATGAGCACAAATTTGCCTTTCGGGAAAATGCGCGACAGATACGAGAGAGACTTCAAGGCGAACGGGTCCTTGTTGCAAAGGCGAGGTGCAGGCTCCCCGTGGCCGACTATCACCTGAAACACATCGAGTGAATATTACAACAAGGAGTACCACCGCTGCTACATGCAAACCATTCCTTCTTAATACTCAGAATACCAAGATTTTATTACACATATTGACACGCTAAATATAAATATATATGTCATTTACAATAACGGAGATGAGCACTTTTATCCTATTAAAGAGAAATAGGAATATCTTACCCCAAAACAGACTCGTTATTACTCGAGACAGTGTGACATTTACACAAATGACCTTGTTTAAAGCTATAGGCAGTTTTACTATAGCCTAAATAATTCATCGCTCACCTCTAACAGGAACGCTCGCACGGCCGAGTCCAACACCTGGTCAGTGACGCCGGCCTCGTCCAGTCGTATCCTCTCCTTCACCGAGCGGCTCCAGGTGGCCCGCATGGCCAGGAGGCGGGGGATCACCCGGGTCTCTTCCCCGCACCGAACGGCATTGTGGGCATCCAGCATGACGCGCATCAGCGTGGTGCCGCTCCTGGGGAAGCCTCCGATGAAGATGAGGGGCGTGTCTTCGGGGAAGTGTTCGTTCAGGGATGAGCTCTGATTGGCCGAGCCCATGTTGAGCTCCATCCACCGGTACCGATGGCTTTTTGGGGGGCAATCCATCCTGCTCATGCCCAGGTAGATCAGGGAGGCAGAGCAGAGGAGCATGCAGCCCAGCAGCAGGCTCGATCTGGTGTTCCTCATGGTTTCAGATTCAGGAGGACATAAAAAGATGTTCAGGGGCACCTGAGGAGGCGGGCTGGAATCAGAAGTGAATGCAGCTTAAATGTCAGCAAAGCTCAGTTGAAGATTTAGCCACGATGATGAGGATGGACGCGAGAAAAACAGCTGAGGGGATGCTGAGGAAGGCCAGGAGGGTGGATTGTGTCCTCGGGGAAACTCCTCACACCTCTGCAGCTCCTCAGCTCCTCAGCCCTGTTGTCCGAGAGCAGGCTTTAGGCCTGCTGCGCTGCGCTGCCAGCCACGTCTCTTATCCATCGTTCCTACCTAAGACATGAGAAGACAAGAAACAGTTTACAAGATCGTACTGCAGTATGGGATGAGGTTTCTTTTCCAAGCACGATTTCACAACTTGGAACAAAAAAAAATCCTCTTATTTTAAATTTCCAATAAATGAGTAAACTCTAAACGTTAGCCACTGCCCTGCATGAGTTATTCTAAGCCAGCAGGGTGTGGTGGTGGTGGTGGTGGCTGCTGTGTTATTTTGCCAAGAACACTTGTACTCACTCGCAGAGGGGCTGAACGCATCCAATTTTTCTTCTCAAAGCAGCTATTTTGCATCGTTCCTCTGGGGGGGGGGGGGGGGGGCACTGACCGTTAGGCCATATCAAAGTTCACTGTGGCATGCAACGCAGACGCACTCTCGGGGAGTGTATCTGACTGCACCAATTACAGCTTCCTCGTGTTTTTATTCTCACCGACAGTTTCTGCCACAATGAAACTCAAGGCAATTCGTTTTAGATCATATTACTATTGACTAAGTGAGTCAACCTGCAACTTCCCCATTTCGCTTCTGCAATAGGCCTGCTAGCAGATTCAGCAACGCAAGGCAGCATCCGATTCCTCTTATTGGCACACAACAAACTAAAACACACACGCGTGAACATTCAATAACTAATGATTTGACTAATGTGTCTAAACACTGATTTAACTGCAGTATTTGGATTCCTTTTAAAGCAACAGTGCAGCTTTGGAACTCAAACTCACTGCAGTTTTACTTCCTACATTAGCTCTGAGCAAATATGGAATACGTCTCCCTTTCTCTGAGGGGTTTTGGTTTCTGTCTTGTTCAGATTGAACATGCAAGGAGCCGAACATCTGGATGCCACGTGGGGGGAACTCCTCTCTCTGATGGGCTGGAGTAGCTTGCCTGTAAAAATGAATTCTGATGATCACAGCAAAAAAATGAAAATGAGGACACCACTGCCTGGCTGGGATACTGAGGCGCTGCCTTAAGCCATGCTAAATCCAGCGCTATCCACAAGCTTTACATGTCATTCTAATGCATTTCCATGCAGAGATTAAGCCACTTGGAGTTTTGCAGAGAATTAGGCCAGTGGTTTAAGACGAGCCTTGGTGCTTTTTTTCTCTCTCAACAGATTTAAAAGGGCCAGTTGACCCAGATTACAAAAAAAAAAGGGTATTTTCTCAAAGCTAACAATTATTTTCACTATGGAAGCAGAAATCTCGGCGACAGACATCTGGAACCCGGGCAAACAAAACCAAAACGACCTGATTGGCAAGACACGACTAGACTAGAGGTTTCTGCAAAGACTAGGAGAGGATAGCCACTCTGATAAATCGGGGAATTGACCCCGAAAAGGCCAACGTGTTCGCTGACAAGCCAACAAACTCAGTCTATAACAAGCAGAAAACAGTGATCTGTGATTAGATTGAGCAGAAGGTTGTCAGGAGAGCCAAAGCCAGTGTCCCCTCCTCTTCACAGGAGGGAACACGTACTTCCTGCCAAAAGGAAAAGTGGAAGGCAGAGAACATCTCTGACATTTAACCTGAACTCTGCCAACAGCCTGTGCTTCCTTAGAGCCGTTCCCTCGGATGCCCGGCATTGAATTCATGACTCTTAAGTAGTTCTGTACATTTATTTCTCTTTTCTTCATTCTACCCTGCAATGCCCGTTTCCCCATCAGCAGCTAAATGTGAGATTAATTAAATATATCCTTAAAAAAAAAAAAAGGTACATGTTCAATTCAGCTGCTTCATCATCAAGAATTACTGCCCCCCTGGTTTTTTTTTGGGGGGGGGACAACTTATACATGTTCCCTTCTCTGGTTAATGCATTACAGTCAGGAGCATGTCCCTTGTTGGATATGTTACCCTGAATGCCCTTCATTGGATGCTTTTCTTCATACATTGCTCTTTATATGTCATTATTGCTCTCCTAATGTTGCAGTGACAGCTCCCTCTCAGTGGCAAAAATAAATTGAATATCCTAAAAAAAAAAGTTCCATATTCAACTGCAGCTGAAAGAAATACAAATATGCGGTGACCCAGGGGCATATCATAAACAGGTCAATCTACCACCGCAGTGTGTGCAGGAATAGGATTACTCAGCGGCTGCAGATTGAAGGCCCAGCATCCCCCGAACATCTGGCCCTGACTTGATGATGCGTCTTGTCTGCACAGAATGCACCCGAGGCGGGCAGCCACCAGGTGAACGACCTGCTATCAGTCCAAACACAGCGCGACAGACCAGCGGCCACCTACAGCTCACCCGCAACATGCCATGAAACGCCTGTCAGCGTGTCGTTGTGTGACCATCTCCACTTAGGCTCATTTACGGGGTCCGTAGGTAGCCACTGCGCGTCGTAAATACACCAGAACCGTGAAAAATGGTGTTCACTCACCAGCGTCTGTGAAACTGACGAAATCCGGAGAAGAAGAAAACAAGAACAACGCACGAACCTTGATCCAAAAAAAAAGGTGAAACCAGCAGCTCCTATATCCACATCCGTGTCATCGAGTATGTGGAGGATCTATCTGTTGAGTGTCTTCAGAAGACACAGTGTTACACAACGCGCTGCTCACAATGTAACTTTGCTCCCTGAGAAGTCGAGCTGTATCTACCGCTGAGGGAGGGAGGGAGGGAGGGAGGGAGGGGGGATCCAGTGAGTACGAGCGCAGCCAGGCAGAGAATGCTGAGCTCTGATTGGTCCCTGAACGTTCTGACTGCTTCAACGCATCGGCTCGGGAGGATCCTATTGGTGGAGGTGTTAAAGGGCGATTCCGCCGCAGTGACAAACCCAGGTTTTGTTTTTCTTTTTTTCTTCCTTCTTCGTCCTCGAGGCTAAAATTACTTTACTTCATCGATTCGTGTGCTCTCAGTAAAAGCCCACAGGGGGAATCTAATCACACTGTGGGATTTAGTTGAGGTTAAGCCCGCCTCATTTCATTTACCCACCTTTTCATTAGTAAACCAGATTTTGGTGACTCTTTTAGTGGGATATGGATTCTTCATGATATATCACGTGCTCTGTGGAGAACCAAATGTGACTTATTAGGCAAGCCTGTCAAATGTCAATAAATAAAACATAAAATAACCTCTGAAATTCATGAATAAGCAATGAGATTCATCAATAACCAATTAAATATGTACACATTAATGAGTATTGAACTGATAAAAGGTGTGCAGTAAAACATTTTTACAAATATAAATGGGTAGTCCCCTTGTGTTAACAGGTTTTTATATTTACAATATGCTATATCTATATCAAATTATAATGAAACCTCCTAGCTTGATTTATGTCAAGTTGGCTTGGAGTGGATAAACTGCCAAGTCAACACTAAGTAGATAGCACATCCCATTGCAGCATGAATATCACACACTGTGATTTACAAAATGAGCTACGGACAGAGTACTATGGGGCCCCGAGGGGCCAAAAATTAGGTGACACGCAACATGTAGTTTTTCTATGCTACAATAGCTGACCCCAGGTCTGCTTTATGGTAAAACACATTCATTCAGACACCCTAACACAGAGACTCTGGTAATAAAGGCTAAACCACATTTAAGCCTTCATCAAATTTGACTGCTGCACATTTTCAAACTGATTTGACATTAAATGAATTAGCCCATGCCAGCAGACTACACTTGGAGCTTTCAATGCCCCTGAGGTTTGTGGGTCCCTGGACAATTGCTTGCTTGAATCATTTGATTATCCATCCTTGGGAAAAGTTGGCAACACGTACATGTTTTACTGCAATTAAATCTTATTTAATTAATAAGTTTAGGTCTGTGCGTAACGTACGCACTGATGACGTGCGTATCACGTTACCACAGCACAAAGAGGCATCCCACAAATATATAGATATGTGTATTCAATTTATGATTGAATGGAATTTGTGCAAGAGTATTTGTGTACATAAGAGTATGTAGATGGGTTGGTAGGAATAAGTAAAAGATAGTTAGATCTGTAGGCTCTGAACATTGACTCTGTCATGTGGTTTCAGAGGTTGTCCCTGAAATGTGTTCACTTCCAAGCTCAATCGATGGCCGGGGGTCACTCGGGGCTCCTGGATGTGCTGGTGCATAGTCCAGACTTTCACTTTGTCTCTGTATTTTGCCTCAGTAAGGTGCTTAGTGAGCACAGGAAACTGATATGACACACTAACAGGAAGCTCAAAAGAGATACGTACATGAGTCTAAGCAGCACATCCTTCCTGTACTTCATAAAAACATTCCTGCACAGAAAGCATGAGCTGGTCCAGAGCCTGTGGTTGAGGTGTTTGTGGGTTTTCTACCTTTGTGTTGCATTCACAGAGCTACAGGATGATGCAGAGAAAGGATACATTGAAGGGGGGAGCTCAGAGCCTGTGGTTGAGGTGTTTGTGGGTTTTCTACCTTTGTGTTGCATTCACAGAGCTAAAGGATGATGCAGAGAAAGGATACATTGAAGGGGGGGGGGGGGGGGGGGGCACCACCGCCATCTGACGTTGAAATGGGTTTCAGATTAAAGTCAACACTGAGCACCAGCTCTTCACAGTCGGTCTTGTTGCACCACATGAGAATCAGGGGCTCCTGTCGTACATGTCCTCATGTGTACGTCAACACTGTGATATCCTTTTATCCAGGCAAGTTATCCAGCAAACGTTTTGCTGTGAACTTGCCTGCCTGCTGAACACGTCATTTCAAGGGTGGGGGGGGGAATACAGACACATTTCTGCTGTTACGCTTAATTTTGTTGCAGAAGGAAGACATCAGCACATTTTACAAATGATAGCCGCTCCTTTAATACTGTCTGACTGTAAGTGCTGTACCAAAGTTTAATTGCACGACCGACTTATATTACAGCTTGGGAAATCATACAGCAGCTAAAACCCATATTTCTATGCATCACGTAAAAACTGACGACAAACATCGAGTCAGAAACCGAAAATATATCAGGTTAATAGCAGACTGTCTCTGCAGGAACATCATCTGATTCAGACCAGTCAGATGCAAAACAAGACATCTACAACTCACTGTCCAAAAACCTGTTCTTTGTATGTTTACACGTAAAAATGCAAATCAGAAACAATCTTCTTCCGCTTATTAAAGTATTCAACTTAATGTGAATCATTTAATAAGTCATTTTTAAAAAAGTAATAAAGTAATTATATGGTCGCCATTGTGAATCCCTTTTGTCAGCATGTTGCTCAGTTCAAACTATGATGCAAAACGGCGCAGGTTAAAGCACCCGGTCCAGTTCTGTAATAGTTTAAGCCTTCACTCCAGTTCTCCACCTGCGGGTGGTGTCTGGCCCGTCACTGTGTCATGACTGTTCGACGGCTTCATCGATCTCTGCTTCTGCTGGAGCTGCGTTCTCCTGCTCTGGGTCACCAGGTAGGACGTCTGCAACCGTGTGGATGAGCTCCTCGATCTGCTCCTCTGATAACCGCTCCTCACTCTCCTCCACCATCTGAACACAAACAGAAAGCGTCGGTTATTACAAATGGTGTCCATTTCTTTGCCTTATTTAAAACATGCTAACATGGTATACACATAAACTCGCCAAGCCTCAACTGTGTCCATCCCTTTATCTGCAGTTTCCAGAACAGTCTCACCTCAAGCTGCATTAGCAACACATATTTTCTTCAGCAGATTGTCAGTTTGTCAGTCGAATTTTAGATGTTCAAATTTCCAAAATGGATGAGGAGTCCTTGAAGGGGACATGTCACTTACAATTCCGGGTTAATATGTTTCTTCTAGAAAATCTTTACATGCTTTAAATGTCAACTCATTATTTCTCTCAGACTGTATATTGCTTTATTCAACATGAACTGTATTTATGACAACGTAATACTCACAAATCACAAAAACATAATTAGGCTGCTTCAAAGTACTCTGAAAAATTGGACTTTTAATATCTACAGTTCCACAACTGGCGAAGTCCACCTGCTGATGAAGAACATGTGATGTGACGGAAAGCACCAGAACAGCTACTCCATGCAGTTGGAGGTTTGAGGACAGTTTTGTCAACTGCTGATTCAAAGATCGAAAATACATTTAAACCACAATTTATCTGCACATTGTTTAGCTCCCAAGCATTTTGCTACGCTCTTGCTATTTACTCCCTAACAGCATGGTTTTGTAACTCTGGGTGTCGGCAGATTCAAACGACAGGAAGAGGTCACTCAAAACCAGTAACTTTAAATTCTCAGGAATCATAACTGGAGATCAGTAAACAAGACGGTTTGTTTACCAACCAGACCACCCTGAGATATTTCTCGCTGCGGAAATATGCTTTGCGTCTGAGTGAGTCCAGATAGCTGCAGGGCCATTTTACATTTGCATGTGTACCACCACAGTTTATTGATGTTTCTGGTGATGGACTGGATGTCTGAAAACCCCCAAATGCTTTATGGCCTGGGTGTACGGGCAGTACACCACTGCTTCTACTTTGAGTTGCTTCTCCACAAGAGCATCAGTGACACAGATTCATACATTTCCAATGTTCCACCAATGAGTGATTCTGACAGGGATTTCCCTTCTATAATGGGATCAACGGAGTCACGTACCACGCAGAAATGGCTCCATTCAACTTGTGTTTTGGAATAGTGAGACACATATAGATGGTCATAAATAAAGCATGCCCTATGAATTGGATTTATTACAGTCTTTAATGACAAAGCTGGCATTATTCTATATTTACCACCCTAGTTATCCTTTAAGCAACTCTTAGCATATGACACACTGGCTCATTTCTACCACAATAACTGTGTGAAAGAATCGTGGAAATGTACACCAGTAGGGAAAAAGAGATGAATATGAATAAGAGATAAAGAGAGGTATGGTAACGTGTAATAACAGTAATTGGTGACAATTAAGTAAAACACTCACTAGCTGAATTTCCACTGCTGTCTGTGGCCGGTGGTTCAATAGCTGCAGTTTTTCGGCCCTGATGGGATAAAAACATCAGTGAATATATGACGTAAGGAACAGCACATACAGTATATCTGCTTATCTTAAACATACTGTGCATCTTAGGTAATCTGTAAATTCCAAATGACAACATATATGTCTTTGATGTCACTGACTTTGTGAGTTTGTGAGGCATCATGGTGGTGAGAAACTCTTTGACGATCTCTGGAGTCTGCCTGCTGCAGGGCGTCTTCGACAGGTACTTCAGTGTCTGTGTGGGAATGCAGAGGAAACTGTGGTCACGCTGCTGCAAAAGTGTAAATGTGACACAACAAGTCAGTGCAGAGAGAGAGAAAGAGGATGTGTGCTTACCTCAAACGTGATGGTGTTGAGGTTCTGCTGTTTGCTCTTCCCGCTGTCCTTCCTCTGCTCCTTCAGGTCTGTCAGGAGTTTGAACACCTGACAAACACAGACGGACAAACCTGAATTTGCGACACTTCATTATTTTCATCTCTTGACTGGGCGGTACAAAACGATTGAATGGTAAACAATGAGACCCAACACATTACCTCATAGTTACTGAGCATAGCAGCATTTGCGTTTTTCCTGAAAAGAAGAAAATAAGTCACGATTAAGCATAAGTTCATTCTTGACTGTTGCAAACTTTATATGACACCAAATAATCTAAGATGAAAGGTCAGTTTAGCTTCTAAATGGATCTTAATTGTACTGAATGAAGACTGTGAGACTTGACTCAAACCTCCGGAAGATGAATGATTTACCTTTGAGTTTAGACTATTTTGGTTAAATAAACGTGACAAAAGTATTTATGATTAGAGTAAAATTCACAGGAAGTTGTGATTTAGACAAGCAGACAGGACAAAAAGAAGAATAGGCAAATTAGAAAATGCTCTTAAAACTTTTCTATCATTTTATTAAGTTTTTAAAAATGGTGTCAGCTTGTGGCTATTTGTCAGACAATAGTTCCTCCAAGCAGGAATTATTTGAACCATATATATGTAGAAATCCACCAACACAAAGTCTCAGTGTTGCATCAGCTGCTGCAGTGTTGTCGGGACCAGTGTGAACTAAGGTTTTAGCTAACGTATTCACTTTCAGAGTAGATCGTTATTGTCTTATCATTTCTTTTTTTAAAGACAATTAATGTTTTTTTAATTGCAATCACAGAGACCTGAAATGGGTCTAAAACCAGTTAATGTGTCACTACATCTTTCCCACAACTCGATCAATAAATTAACCGGAAATTGCAACAAAGACGTCGTGACGTTACTTTTAACCATAATAAACAAACCATAGAGCCGCCAAATAACAAACACATTGCACAATATTCAGAGTTTAAAATGAAATTCTTACACTTCCATTTCGCCAGGCACTTAGCTTCGGTCCGTCGCAAAAATCGCCCGTGTAAAAAATGTGAAACGGCTCAAGAGTTCCGCCCTGGCTTCAGTGTTGCAGTATATCTCCCCCTCGTGTTCGGTGATTCTCACTGCAGAAAAGCACAAAGCCAGGACCGGGCTCTTGGAGGAGAGACAGAATGGATCTAATACCGATTACAATTAAATAATACATCTTTGGTGCACGAAACCAAATAAAGAAACCCTGTAATCCAGGATGTGACATTCATTCACAACTCACAGCACATTGCTATGTAACAATACACTAAATATTCTACATAAAATGAAGACATTATCTTGTCCTTTTTTGTTCACCAACTCAAAATCAGATGTATTCAAGGTGACAGATTCTCAGTTAGTTGAACTCAGAATTTGACCTTTGACTTCTCATTCACACATTTATACTGTAGACGAGAGAAAGGACGCATAAAAACACATCAAAATCCACACATGAAAGTAATCACTTTATTGAATATCGAAAAACAATCATCACTCACTTGTTAAAACAGGTTTTTTCATTATGACAAAATTTAACGAGGTAAGAAATTTTAATTCTCACGTTCAAGAGACATTCTCAAGACATTGGTATCAACACACTGACAGTATGACGGAATATTACAATATTATACAATTTATTAAAAATGTCAAATATTTCTTAAAACATAAGATCTCAAACAGCCCAAAGACAGAAGATAAAAAGGTATAAGTGCAGTCGCTATGAACAAGCACAGCACCAAAATTCAAAATATTATTCATGGATATATTCCAAACACCTGACTAAAAAATGATTATGGAGAAATCATAGTTCCCTTTATACTAAAACTGATTATGGTTACCTAAAACATTGAATACAATAAGTTTGTATGAGATCTTTTCCCCCATCCCTGCACTACTTCAGTGCTTAACAACAAGAGTACCCTGATCATAGAGCTGATATCTGAAAACAGACATGACCGCCTTTGTAGTTCATTGAAGCTGCTCGCACTGAATCTTCAGTCAGCAGTTAGCTTTGTATCTGCTCAAGTGTCCATTGGGACAGAATCCTCTCTCTGAGAGAAGAATTCAAAGAACGCCTTCAAACTCTCGTCATTTGCGGCCACATTTCTAAATGAGAGATTTCTGCTCTCAACCAGTTTCTTCACATTGGCCATCATCTGATGTTGATGTTTATAACCGCAAGCCAGGTATTTCTTCAACACATCAAACCTTCTTCTTTCCACCATTTGGACAATGATGTGCTCAATAATGCTGGACAAAGGATAGCCATACTCCATGACACTATGGCTTTCACCTCTTGCATTGCGGTAGGGATATCCGCCTGAATGCATTGCAACAACATTGCAGTGATCATCAAAGACAGGAGAGCCAGATGAGCCAAAAGAAAAACAAGTATTGTAATTTAGAGCCCATCTGTTCTCTTTATCATTTTTCACATCCTCAAAGTAACGGGGCGTAATCAACTGAATGGGAGCGTTGTTTTCACTGTAATGAGGATTGTGCGGCAGAACGCCCTCTGGATTTTCAAGGCGATGCCTCTCGACAACCTGGTTGAAGTTTTCAGTTGGAACTATGAAGCATGGATCTATATATTTCACACCACCACCAGGATGCCCAATAATGCAAATTCCGCCACTTTGGGGAAGGAATCCGAAGTGTGTTAACAGACCTTTGGGCGAGTTCTGATGAGCACCGATCCTCAACAAAGCCCAGTCATGCTGGTGCCCTGACGCATCATGGCCATGTTCAAATCCAGCAACCTCTTCCACTGCTGCTCCTGAATCTTCCTGGCCTAGACTTTCAAAAGAGAAATGGACTGTGACCTTCTCAGTAAGCTGCCGTGTCCTCTCATTATAGATGTTTTTAACTATATGGCCATTTGTGAGGACAAACTTGTCAAATAGGAGGAAGCCACTTCCTTTTGCTCTGTCATTTACTCTCACATGACAAACAGAGTTACTGAGCTCCATCAGTGTCTTCATTGTTTTCACTTCCCTGCATGTCTCAGCGTTCTTTCCGTACTCCACACGGTAGAGATTCTGGACATGAGAAAGCCTAGATACTGGCTGACTTTTCTTTCCCTTCACCAAATCTGTAAACTGTGAAGATAGGTAAGTCTGCATCTTTTTTGAATTAGCTATTTCACGAAACAATATTTCTGGTGCCTTCCGACCATCCAGCCCTGCTTTCTGTTTTGGTGTGTTGACATTCACTGACTCAGCTGCGGTAGACTGCTGTAGAGCATCTCGCTTTCCTTCAGAGTCACACCTCTGAGATTCATTTTGCGTCGTGTAGGCATCATCCAAACTGCCAGACTGACTGTCTGGTGGACTGGACTTATCGAGCAGTCTGATCCTGAAAGTTTTACCATCAAGATCATCAACGAGATCGGACATTTCAGTGGTTACCTTAGTGTTTTTGTTGTAGAGTGCACAGTTCTTTGTGAATACGATATTCCGTAAACGACCATCTCTTTTCAGAGCACGCTTCAATGTTTCCCCTCTGTAAGCATAAACAGTCATTTCATCAATTTGATTATTTCTTAGTTCTGGGTTTCTCATAATTCTCACTACTTTTTTACCTCCCCTTGTCAGTAAATGAAACATCACAAGCTCACTAGATGGCCCCTTTCTCTGGCAACGATCAGAACCACTAAGCGGTTGCTTTGGCTCGTCAACAGCTTTAACATACGTGATAGTCAGC